AGACATATAGGGGGCCAGCCAGATACCTGACGACGAACAAGATCGACGACGACCACATCCTCATATATTTTGGATTAGAATCATAATATGATTAGCCTGCTTAATTGCTTATACATAACTTAAAACGTTCTAAAGTAAAGGTCTACAAGTGTTTTCCATTTATCTATGTATCAGATGTCAGAACAGAATTCTAGGCCTGAGGAACTGACAATCCAATCTTGAACTTGCTAGACTGCTGAATTTCACTCTGTACCCAAAGTAGCAGATGCCTCACTGTTCTCATTGTTCAATTGAAAGTTGTCTCAGGTTCATCTGGACCAACATCTGCAATGATGCATGTATAGGTATTTCAGAATGACTATATAATGTTGAGACCTTTGAGCCATGCCTTTTAAAGTCATGTTCTACCACCATACTATTGGCCTTGGCTTTTTTAGCTACTTGCCTTTTTACCATCAGGCCTTTTGCATTTTCACATGACCATTTCAACACCAAAGCTCTGCATTACAACTTTTACCTTGACTGGATCCTGGAAGTCATGTCTCCTCTTTTACCTTTTCAAAGTCAACTTGCTACGACAAAATTACTGCTTATACATAACTAAATGATGAACACCCTCCTCTTAGTTTACTGCAAGGAATCCAGGTGACATTATAACCCAGGGTTTCCCAAACTCGGTCCTCGGGACCCCAAGTGGTGCCCGTTTTGTTTTTTGCCCTAGCACTACACAGCTGATTAAAATAATGAACTAATCATCAAGCTTTGATCAATTGAATGAGCTGTGTAGTGCTAGGGCAAAAAACAAAACGGGCACCCCTTGGGGTCCCGAGAACAGCGTTTGGGAAATGCTGTAATGACCTGTCAACTTTGATTGAACCCCACATTACACTCTTAGAAAAAAGGTGCTATCTAGAACCTGAAAGGGTTCTTCGGCTGTCCCCATAGGAGAACCCTTTGAATAACTATTTTTGTTCCATGTAGAACCTTTTTGGTTTCCAGGTAGAACCCTTTTGGGTTCCATGTAGGACCCTTTCCACAGAGGGTTCTATATGGAACCCAACATGGTTCTACGTGGAACCAAAAATGCTTCTCCCTGGAACCAAAAAGGGTTGTCCTATGGGCACAGCCGAAGAAACCTTTTTTCTAAGAGTGTAGGGTGTACAGGAGCAATAAATTCAGCTCTAGCTTTGGAGGATGCAATGAAAGTTCTTTGCCATTATGCATTACATCATTGTGGAATGGACAAGATAACGTCAATCTCTAAGATTGTAACTGATTTGCACCAGAAAGTGAGGAGACAACATTAGAAAGTGAGGAGACAACATTAGAAAGTGAGGAGACTACATTAAAAAAGTGAGGAGACTACATTAGTCTATTAGTGTGTGGTCTGCGTCTGGGGGCCATGGCGAGTAAAGTCAACTCAGAGACCCTAACCCTAACCCCTACACCATGGAATGGGAACACATTCTCAACATGGTTAATATCAAACCCAAAATAACCACAGCACCCCGACGGTCGGTCCGTCTCACTGGATCGGGTTCCCTGTGATATTTGTGAGCATGGGTAGGAGCGTCTAGGACCATGGCATGTGATAGTCTACAGGCAGAGGAACGTCTGTACAAGACGGAGAGAACACCGATTTATTAGATGCTGGAAAGGACATCTGCATTCTGTATGATCGTGCCTGCGTTCCAAATGGCACCCAATACCTTTGACGAGAGCCTCAATGGGCCCTGGTCAAAAGTAGTGTACTAAATAGGGAATGGGGTACGATTTGGGAATACAGTTGTACTGTATCTGCTAGACTTAGACTACCAGTCAAAAGTGTGGACACACCTACTCATTCAAGGGTTTTTCTTAATTTTTTATATTTTTTACATTGTAGAATAATAGTGAAAACATCAAAACTATGAAATAACACATATGGAATCATGTAGTAGCCAAAAAAGTGTTAAACAAATTTCAGATTCTTCAAATAGCCACCCTTTGCCTTGATGACAGATTTGCACACTCTTGGCATTCTCTCAACAAGCTTCATGAGATAGTCACCTGGAATGCATTTCAATTCAGAGGTGTGCCTTCTTAAAAGTTAATTTGTGGAATTTCTTTCATTCTTAATGCATTTCAGCCAATCAGTTGTGTTGTGACAAGGTAGGGGGGTTATACAGAAGATAGCCCTATTTGGTAAAAGACCAAGTCCATATTATGACAAGAACAGCTGAAATAAGCAAAGAGAAACAACAGTCCATTATTACTTTAAGACATGAAGGTCAGTCAATACGGAACATTTCAAGAACTTGAAAAGTTTCTTCAAGTGCAGTCGCAAAAACCATCAAGCGCTATGATGAAACTAGCTCTCATGAGGACCGCCACAGGAATGGAAGACCCAGAGTTACCTCTGCTGCAGAGGATACATTCATTAGAGTTACCAGCCTCTGAAATTGCAGCCCAAATAAATGCTTCACAGAGTTCAAGTAACAGACACATCTCAACATCAACTGTTCAGAGGAAACCGCTGTGTCTTTGTGAGACGCGGTGTGGGTGAACGGATGATCTCCGCATGTGTATTTCCTACTGTAAAGCATGGAGGAGGAGGTGTTATGGTGTGGGGGTGCTTTGCTGGTGACACTGTCTGTGATTTATTTAGAATTCAAGGCACAATTAACCAGAATGGCTACCATAGCATTCTGCAGTGATATGCCATCCCATCTGGTTTGGGCTTAGTGGGACTATCATTTGTTTTTCAACAGGACAATGCACAACACACCTCCAGACTATGTAAGGGCTATTTTACCAAGAAGGAGAGTGATGGAGTGCTGCATCAGATGACCTGGCCTCCACAATCCCCCGACCTCCACCCAATTGAGATGGTTTGGGATGAGTCGGACCGCATAGTGAAGGAAAAGCAGCCAACAAGTGCTCAGCATATGTGGGAACTCCTTCAAGACTGTTGGAAAAGCGTTCTAGGTGAAGCTGATTGAGAGAATGCCAAGAGTGTGCAAAGCTGGCATCAAGGCAAAGGGTGGTAATTTGAAGAATCTCAAATATAAAATATATTTTGATTTGTTTAACACTTTTTTGCTTACTACTTGATTCCATTTGTTTTATTTCATAATTTTGATGCCTTCACTATTATTCTAGAATAGTAAAAATAAAGAAAAACCCCTGGAATGAGTAGGTGTGTCCAAACTTTTGAATGGTACTGTACGTCAGAAGTAGTCACAAGATATAACTTCCTCAACCTTACCCAAGTCATCTGCCCTTCTGAGATATAACTTCCTCAACCTTACCCAAGTCATCTGCCTTTCTGAGATATAGCTTACTCAACCTTACCCACATCATCTGCCTTTCTGAGGTATAACTTCCTCAACCTTACCCAAGTCATCTGCCTTTCTGAGATATAGCTTACTCAACCTTACCCAAGTCATCTGCCTTTCTGAGATATAGCTTACTCAACCTTTCCCAAGTCATTTGCCTTTCTGAGATATAGCTTACTCAACCTTACCCAAGTCATCTGCCTTTCTGAGGTATAACTTCCTCAACCTTACCCAAGTCATCTGCCTTTTTGAGGTATAACTTCCTCAGCCTTACCCAAGTCCAAGACATCTGCCTTTCTGAGATATAACTTCCTCAACCTTACCCAAGTCATCTGCCTTTCTGAGATATAACTTCCTTAACCTTATCCAAGTCATCTGCCTTTCTGAGATATAACTACCTCAACCTTACCCAAGTCATCTGCCTTTCTGAGGTATAATTTCCTCAACCTTACCCAAGTCATCTGCCTTTCTGAGGTATAACGTCCTCAACCTTACCCAAGTCGTCTGCCTTTCTGAGATATAACTTCCTCAACCTTACCCAAGTCATCTGCCTTTCTGAGGTATAATTTCCTCAACCTTACCCAAGTCGTCTGCCTTTCTGAGGTATAACTTCCTCAATCTTACCCAAGTCATCTGCCTTTCTGAGGTATAACGTCCTCAACCTTACCCAAGTCGTCTGCCTTTCTGAGGTATAACTTCCTCAACCTTACCCAAGTCATCTGCCTTTCTGAGATATAGCTTATTCAACCTTACCCAAGTCGTCTGCCTGTCTGAGGTATAACTTCCTCAACCTTACCCAAGTCATCTGCCTTTCTGAGATATAGCTTATTCAACCTTACCCAAGTCATCTGCCTGTCTGAGGTATAACTTCCTCAGCCTTACCCAAGTCATCTGCCTTTCTAAGATATAACTTCCTCAACCTTACCCAAGTCCAAGTCATCTACCTTTCTGAGATATAACTTCCTCAACCTTACCCAAGTCCAAGTCATCTGCCTTTCTGAGGTGATTTCCACAATGTTTTGGAAAGTGTAGGCTATGTTGTGGGATTTTCAAGCATATGATGCCGTCTGCAGGCTGTGTAGTATAGGCTACCATATTTGTGTGCAGTGTACCTGCAAGGCGGCATGGCATGAGAGTGCAAGCTTTCCTTCTGTAAGCTAGACCAGTCTCAGGCCTCTGTGTTTACACTGCTCCTCTGCAGCCACAAGATGGCACTATTTAAATGATTCTCCAGTGAAACTCAAGATATCTTGAGAAAATAGCTTTTTAACATCTCTTTTTATCATTTGAGAAAACACCTGTGCAAAACATAACAAAATAGAAGCCTAACAGCCCAAAATAGACATGAAATGTAAATAGAAAAAAAGTACAAAATAGTCAGAGCTGGTCCCATATAGAGTCATAGAGGGAGTCTGAGACAGGGAGTCAGATACCAGCAGAGTTATTGCGGTTCTCATCGGGGATGGCCTCATTGAGACTGGGTACAGCAAGCCTCTTCCTGTGAATTAACCAATGGGACAAGATGGTGAGACAAGGCTATGCACTTTTCACTCCTATGTCCTCAACAAACTGTTACACTAAATTTTTAATGCAATAATGATAGTTCTTTAAAGAATGATTTAAACTTTTGTATGGTAAATGATGACACTACCAAGAGGTAAACAGAAACTAGATTTACATGACTCACATCAGGCGAGTGAGAAGGTTCTGCACATTCTTCATGCTGGGGTCCAGGCAGTACTGGAGTCCATTCTCAAGGCTAACACTGTCAATATATAGAATGGTTGACATTTACATTGCAATGTTTTTAGCTGACGTCTTAATATCATCATCATCATCATCATAACTGATAAGATATAGATACTCACATGAACTCCAGCCTGTTACAGGAGGTGGTTGGTGGGTAGACCTGGATGTCCGCAACAGCTGTTGTGCGTCCAAAGCTATTCCGCACCTTCCGACACAAACAACGCTGGCTCACAGAACCTATACATAGAATCATTTAACATTAAATTGAGTTAAGTTGAGCTACTTGAAATGACTAAATAGCAATACAAAAACAATTAGCCTGCTCCCAAAATTGTAATATTCTATTCACATTTAATAAATGACCATAACACAGTAATGGTAGTTATGGTAAAGAGAGGTAGACTCACGCTGGGCGACTGTGCTGCAGACAGTGACAGCAAGGAGCAGGAGAATCCTGGTGGCCATGGTCATGTTGTGTTCAACCTGTGGTCTTCTCTGCTTGTACAGTACAGCTGTTGGTAGAGATGAGTCTGTCTGATGTGAAGAGATGGAGATAAGATGAGTGTGTGAACAGATAGATGAGATGAGAGAGAGGTACTGTGAGGGGTTGAGAGAAGTGGCCTCTTATATAAGATCCTAAAGATGGAGGGGATGAGACAGGTTAAAGAAGGATTTTTAAGCCTTGAGACATGGATTGTGTATGTGTGCCGTTCAGAGGGTGAAATGGCAAGACAAAATATTTAAGTGCCTTGGAATGGGGTATGGTAGTAGGTGCCAGGCGCACCGGTTTGTGTCAAGAACTGTAACGCTGCTGGGATTTTCAACAGTTTCCCGTGGGTATCAAGAATGGTCCACCACCCAAAGTACATCCAGACAACTTGATTCAACTGTGGGAAGCATTGGAGTCAACATGGGCCAGCATCCCTGTGGAACGCTTTCGACACCTTGTAGAGTCCATGTCCCGACAAACTGAGGCTGTTCTGAGGGCAAAAGGGGGTCAAACTCAATATTAGGAAGGTGTTCTTAATGTTTTCTCCACTCAGTGCATGTACGTATATGTCTTAATAATTAATATTATTATTGATTCTTTCTAATTCTCTGTGGAAAAATATGATGTTAATTTAGTCTGTTTAGTAACTGAATAGAATAAATGAGGAAATTAAAGAATGAATAGGAATATAATCTCAACCACTAGAACTATTGTGTCTATGAATGGGATGTACAGTATTTTCAATTATCATTGGTTATATTTAGTATCATACTTCAGACTTCTTTTTGTCTGAGATGTGGGTGTTAGAATGTTTTGTGTTTGTTGTGTGCGTGCCTTGCATGCATGTTTCCATGGCTGTGAAGAGGGGGTATTAGGGTGTTTCAGACCGTTCCATTGTGAAAAGGCACTTTTCTTTTCTTCTGGTGGGTTGAGACCTTTTGTTGTTGTCCCCCACAATGAAATTGGAGGGGGACTATGGATCCGTCTCCATCGGTTCGTACTTCTCAGTGTATGTGTATGGAAGATCAAACCCATAACTTTGGTGACGTACGCAAGCACCGTGCTTTCACCAACTGAGACATTCGAACCAATGAGAATGACATCTCCACATGGTCAACACTGTAGGGAAAGTATCTAAACAAAAGTCCATTCTGACTGAGGAGGCCTGTGGTGAAGTAAGGTTAACCACTAGCCACACGCTGCCTTTATACATGGAAGTTAATTAGGGCCTCTCATACGCTCTAGAGGCACTTCATGATGATGTAAAAGCACTTCATGATGACCACCTATAGGTTTTTCTATTTGGAATTAGGCTTTAGACGCTGACAGGTGCTTCCTCTCCAGAATGTTCACAATGTTCACATTGTTCTTAAAAAGTAGTGCCTTGAACCAAAGGGTATTTTAAGCACTTTTCATTAAAGCTACAGAAGACACAGCATACATGAATGGAGTGTGTGTATCATAGCTCTCAAATCTCGTGTGTTTGGTTTTTCATCCAGACTTGGTTTTCCATTCAGATGGAAAAGGCGTTATAGAGTTGCTGTGGGCAGATATAGCCATAGCTAACCCTGCTCTTTTTCTATCTCCACTGTAGGCAGTCTTCTGTCAGCTCACGCTTCAATATTTGATATGAATGAATATTTAAACAAATATATAGCGATGCAGAGTGTACGTATCCGGCCCACCAGTTATAGGTGAGCAAAGGCACACAATGTTTCTGCTGTCTTATTCTGATGAGAGAGGGGAGAAACATTTCAAAAGGAGGATGTCACACTTTTGCTTCATTTGCATTGCAGTACCATATCAAGGACAATGATCATTTTCAAAAAGGCATACACATCAAACAAAAACAGTGATGTTTTTAAAGTAATACATTGGTTTTATTGTCTGTTATCTTTTTGGACTAATACCATATAGCTAACTGTCTGCTGTCATCGGAAACATCTTAAATGTCACCTACAGACAGGAAAGACGCTCACACACCATCTTACTGTTTATTTTTCTTGCTTTTTTTTCAGCTCAGAACAAAAGCAGGATATCAGTATCAGCATCATCAGTATGAAGCTGACCACAGCTCCAATCCAAACCACTACACAGCAAAAGCCCCCTCCCTACACAGAAACCACAGAGAATGAAACCACAGAGGAACACTTAGCTACAGCGTCATCATCTCTTCCTCCACAGAGGAGAGAGGGCAGATTATTATTGCTCTAATTCTGGATGTGACTGTGTAAGCGATTTACTGAATTGGACTGAAATGTGTGTTTTCATCTAATAGATAACTAGTGACTACAAACACAAGGTCAGTCAAAACACAAACATAATGTACATCAGTCACCTTATCTTATTCCTTTTGGACGGGGTTGATCAGGTTGCACAAACAGTGTGTGTGTGTGTGTGTGCGCGCATGTCTGCCAGTGCAGTTGTTGTCTCTGTAGTGTATGATTAGCCTGTGTATGCTTGTGCGTGTGTAATACTCTTCTTCTCATTCTATGGAGAAAATAGTTTTGTCCTGCTTCTCTCTGACTGCAAGTGGAGCCATTTGCTTTATACAGTGAATAAAACTAGAGCCATTGATGTGCTTGTAGAGACTATTTGCTAAGTATCATCATAACTGTAGTATCATTAATGAACCTGTCAGGATCTTACCAGCTGTCCTCAGCCTGCCCTCTGCTGGTTTATTCTCACCAGGGTTGGACACTGCAGATCCTGAGGGGTTAGCCATAACCCTAAGCCTAGCTTCATGTCCAAACCCCAGCTCAACCTTGACCCTAGCTTCATGTCCACACCCCGGCTCAACCTTGACCATAGATTCATGTCCACACCCCGGCTCAACCCTAACCCTAGCTTCATGTCCACACCCCGGCTCAACCTTGACCCTAGCTTCATGTCCACACACAAATGATCACACCCCTGAAAACAGTCTTAGGTTTACAATCATGAGAGACACGGACACTGTATTAAAAACATGTTTTTTTATCAATTCATTATACAAATACACAGAGGTATAAAAAGTGTGCAGGTATGATCAATCATGTATTTACTGTATACAGCAACACGAATACGTCCTTAAGCACACCACAGATAATAAAATACAGCAATTTTCAAGAATAACATAACGTAATCAATACATAATCACATCGTTTTCTTGGCTGAATATCACTTATTATGGTTAATGAACAGTCTGTTGGTGTCATATTTTTCATTTGGAACAGTCTATGGGCTAGATCTATATCTATAATTCAGTGCCATTTGTCATAGATCAGCATCTATTTGCCATCATGTCGATTCAACAGGCATCTACTGTCATAGTGAAACTGTGGTGTCTTGTCATTGTACATCTCCTGTCATATAAATCTATAGTCTGTTGATGAGGTTCAGTGACTGGTAGCTCTACATATCTGTGATGGCAGGCAGTATGCAGGCTCGTACACGGGCCTCCTTCCAGACACAACAACAATCTGAGCTCTCCCTCTCTCTCTCCTCCTTCTCCTTACTCTCTCCCTCTCTTCGTCCCCCCCATTTTCTTTGTTTAATAATGGGCTACTTATCCTAGCCTGTAGCTGTTCTGCAGATACCTGTGTAGGTGTGTATCTATGTGGGGGCTGTGTGGTTAGGTCAGAGGGGGAGGGGCCACAGTCAGGGGTGGCTGTGTTACTGAACCCAGGGCAGCTGCTCTTACGTTGCTGCTGGAGGTCAAAGGGCAGGTCAGAGGGGCAGGAGCGGGGGTAACTGTGTGCCCGTGGGCGGGACTGGCCCTCAGACACCACCCCTTGTCTCCTTAAACCCAATTCCCTGATTGACAGGTGGAGTGGCCGGGGCTGCCGTACAGGAACTCTAAGGGGTCTGACGCACCAAGGCAACCAAACGCAGGCTCATTACAGTTGGAATCTTTCCCCTGTCCACCGCATACAGTGATGAAGTCAGAGTACATCCCAGGCCTTTCCTTCCCATGGGCCTTTTCCCTGTGACAAAATGCAGTGGCCTTTGGAGAGTTTTCATCTTGCACAGCAAGCTGCGGCAGCCTCGACCTCTGGTGCAGCGAGTCCTGCTTGCGAGGGTTGATGATGTCATTGGTGTGAAAGGAGGTGGGGTGAGCCAGGTGGCAGATGGACAGCAGGTAGTCCTCTGAGGAGAGGGTGTGTGGGCAGGGCCCTGGGTGGGTGGTAGGCTGGGCAGAGTGAAGGGTGTTGGACTGGTTCGTCTGGTTCATGTGGTTCATGTCTCTGACCAGATCCTCGTAGCCCTCTCTGATAGTGGGCAGCTGTAATCTCCTCTTCTGGGATACCGGTTTGGACATAGGACGCATGGCTGCTGGGAGAGACCGACAGAGAGAGAAGTCAATCACCAAGAGATAATGTTTGAATAATATCGGAGTGACTTTGTCTTCATGGACGTGGGGTCTGACATTTGGGAAATGGGTAGGTTATGCATACTCTGATTTAATCATATTTGATAACTGGTCCTTTCAATGCTCCCCACAGAACCACATCAACACCACTTCTAGACCTGATAACCTTAGCCCCACAGAACCACATCAACACCACTTCTATACCTGGTAACCTAAGCCCCACAGAACCACATAAACACCACTTCTATATCTGGTATCCTAAGCCCCACAGAACCACACCAACACCACTTCTATACCTGGTAACCTAAGCCTCACAGAACCACATCAACACCATTCTATACCTGGTAACCTAAGCCTCACAGAACCACATCAACACCATTCTATACCTTGTAACCTAAACTCCACAGAACCACATCAACACCATTATATACCTGGTAACCTAAGCCCCACATAACCACATCAACACCACTTCTATACCTGGTAACCTAAGCCTCACAGAACCACATCAACACCATTCTATACCTGGTAACCTAAGCCTCACAGAACCACATCAACACCATTCTATACCTTGTAACCTAAACTCCACAGAACCACATCAACACCATTATATACCTGGTAACCTAAGCCCCACATAACCACATCAACACCACTTCTATACCTGGTAACCTAAGCCTCACAGAACCACATCAACACCATTCTATATCTGGTAACCTAAGCCTCACAGAACCACATCAACACCATTCTATACCTTGTAACCTAAACTCCACAGAACCACATCAACACCATTATATACCTGGTAACCTGGTAACCCAGGTTCCCTTGGAGAGTTCATCAATGAGCTTGACGCCTTGATAAGTTCCTTTCCTGAGGATGGCTCACCCCTCACAGTTCTGGGTGACTTTAACCTCCCTACGTCTGCCTTTGACTCATTTCTCTATGCCTCCTTCTTTCCACTCCTTTCCTCTTTTGACCTCACCCTCTCACCGTCCCCCCCTACTCACAAGGCAGGCAATATGCTTGACCTCATCTTTACTAGATGCTGTTATTCTACTAATCTCACTGCAACTCCCCTCCAAGTCTCCGACCACTACTTTGTATCATTTTCTCTCTCGCTCTCCTCCAACACTACTCACTCTGCCCCTACTCAGATGGTAATGTGCCGTCGAAACCTTCGCTCTCTCTCTCCCGCTACTCTCTCCTCTTCCATCCTATCATCTCTTCCCTCTGCTAAACCCTTCTCCCTCCGATCTCCTGATTCTGCCTCCTCAACCCTCCTCTCCTCCCTTTCTGCATCTTTTGACTCTCTATGTCCCCTATCCTCCCGGCCGGCTCGGTCCTCCCCTCCTGCTCCGTGGCTTGACGACTCATTGCGAGCTCACAGAAGAGGGCTCCGGGCAGCCGAGTGGAAATGGAGGAAAACTAGACTCCCTGCGGACCTGTTATCTTTTCACTCCCTCCTTTCTACATTATCTTCCTCTGTTTCCGCTGCTAAAGCCACTTTCTACCACTCTAAATTCCAAGCCTCTGCCTCTAACCCTAGGAAGCTCTCTGCCACCTTCTCCTCCCTGCTGAATCTTCCTCCTCCTCCCCCTCCCTCCTCCCTCTCTGTGGATGACTTCGTCAACCATTTTGAAAAGAAGGTTGACGACATCTGATCCTCATTTATTAAGTCAAATGACACCGCTGGTCCTGCTCACACTGCCCTACCCTATGCTTTGACTTCTTTCTCCACTCTCTCTCCAGATGAAATCTTGTGACTTGTGACGGCCGGCCGCCCAACAACCTGCCCGCTTAACCCTATCCCCTCCTCTCTTCTCCAGACCATTTCCGGAGACCTTCTCCCTTACCTCACCTTGCTCATCAACTCATCCTTGACCGCTGGCCATGTCCCTTCCGTCTTCAAGAGAGCGAGAGTTGCACCCCTCCTCAAAAAACCTACACTCGATCCCGCCGATGTCAACAACTACAGACCAGTATCCATTCTTTCTTTTCTCTCCAAAACTCTCGAGCGTGCTGTCTCTAGCCAACTCTCCTGCTATCTCTCTCAGAATGACCTTCTTGATCCAAACCAGTCAGGTTTCAAGACTGGTCATTCAACTGAGACTGCTCTTCTCTGTGTCACGGAGGCTCTCCGCACTGCTAAAGCTAACTCTCTCTCCTCTGCTCTTATCCTTCTAGACCTATCCGCTGCCTTTGATACTGTGAACCATCAGATCCTCCTCTCCACCCTCTATGAGTTGGGCATCTCCGGCGCTGCTCACTCTTGGATTGCATCCTACCTGACAGGTCCCTCCTACCAGGTGGCGTGGCAAGAATCTGTCTCCGCACCACATGCTCTCACCACTGGTGTCCCCCAGGGCTCAGTTCTAGGCCCTCTCCTATTCTCTCTATACACCAAGTCACTTGGCTCTGTCATATCCTCACATGGTCTCTCCTATCATTGCTACGCAGACGACACAACATTAATTTTCTCCTTTCCCCCTTCTGATAACCAGGTGGCGAATCGCATCTCTGCATGTCTGGCAGACATATCAGTGTGGATGTCGGATCACCACCTCAAGCTGAACCTCGGCAAGACAGAGCTGCTCTTCCTCCCTGGGAAGGACTGCCCGCTCCATGATCTCGCCATCACGGTTGACAACTCCATTGTGTCCTCCTCGCAGAGTGCAAAGAGCCTTGCCGTGACCCTGGACAACACCCTGTCGTTCTCTGCTAACATCAAAACGGTGATCCGATCCTGCAGGTTCATGCTCTACAACATTCGCAGAGTACGACCCTACCTTACACAGAAAGCGGCACAGGTCCTAATCCAGGCACTTGTCATCTCCCGTCTGGATTACTGCAACTCGCTGTTGGCTGGGCTCCCTGCCTGTGCCATTAAACCCCTACAACTTATCCAGAACGCCGCAGCCCGTCTGGTGTTCGACCTTCCCAAGTTCTCTCATGTCACCCCGCTCCTCCGCGCACTCCACTGGCTTCCAGTTGAGGCTCGCATCTACTACAAGACCATGGTGCTTGCCTACGGAGCTGTGAGGGGAACGGCACCTCCTTACCTTCAGGCTCTGATCAGACCCTACACCCAAACGAGGGCACTACGTTCATCCACCTCTGGCCTGCTAGCTCCCCTACCTCTCAGCCCAGTCAAAGCTATTTGCTGCTCTGGCACCCCAATGGTGGAACAAGCTCCCCCACCACGCCAGGACAGCGGAGTCACTGACCACCTTCCGGAGACACTTGAAACCCTACCTCTTTAAGGAATACCTGGAATAGTATAAAGTCATCCTTCTACCCCCCCCCCCCCCCCCCATTAAAAAAAAGAAGGAAAAAAAAGTGGTTGTCCCACTTGCTATCATAAGTTGAATGCACCAATTTGTAAGTCGCTCTGGATAAGAGCGTCTGCTAAATGATGTAAATGTACATGTAAATGTAACCTAAACTCCACAGAACCACATCAACACCATTCTATACCTGGTAAACTAAGCCCCACAGAACCACATCAACACCATTCTATACCTGGTAACCTAAACTCCACAGAACCACATCAACACCATTCTATACCTGGTAACCTAAACTCCACAGAACCACATCAACACCATTCTATACCTGGTAACCTAAGCCTCACAGAACCACATCAACACCATTCTATACCTGGTAACCTAAACTCCACAGAACCACATCAACACCATTCTATACCTAGTAACCTATGCCCCACAGAACCACATCAACACCATTCTATACCTGGTAACCTAAACTCCACAGAACCACATCAACAAAATTCTATACCTGGTAACCTAAGCCCCACAGAACCACATCAACACCATTCTATACCTGGTAACCTAAGCCCCAAAGATCCTCCTATTTCTTTATACTTATCCCCGCTCTCCTCTTCTCTCCTCTGTTTGCTCAGGAGGAGCTGTGTAAATAGGTCCGTAAGACAAACACACCGTGACCATAGCTACATAAACACACTGGTATATAAGTACCATAGATACCAGACCAGCCAGCCAGAACCCGCCAGAACCCACCAGAACCAGCCAGAACCACATACTGTAGCCTATATTTTCTCATGCCACCCATATTGTTTCAGCCCTGACTGCAGGCCGCAGAGTATTTCAGTCCCTGACCTCAATATCAAAAATAGCTCCAGCCAAACCCTAAAGCCAGCCTCTCCCAGTATCCCTCAAGGTGGAATAGCTGCTAAATATAGAACCACAACTAGCTGGTATGCAGTGACTCAGAACCATACTAGCATCCTTCCTATACATAGCAAAGATACAGGTAATTGCCTAAATAAAGGAAACACCAACATTAAGTGTCTTAATAGGGCGTTGGGCCCCCATGAACTGCCAGAGCACCTTCTTTGCAGCTTGGCATAGATTCTACAAGTGTCTGGAACTCTATTGGAGGGATACAACACCATTCTTCTATGACAAATTCCATAATTTGGTGTCTTGTTGATGGTGGTGGAAAACGCTGTCTCAGGCGCCGCTCCAGAATCTCCCTTAAGTGTTCAATTGGTGACTGAGACGGCCATAGCATCTGGTTTACATCGTTTTCATGCTCTTCAAACCATTCAGTGACAACTCGTGCCCTGTGGATGGGGGCATTGTCATCCACTCCCATCAGGATAGAAGTGCTTCACCATAGGTTGAAGGTGATCACTCAGAATGGCTGTGTATTTATTGGTGTTTACCTTGTCCTCTAAGGGGTTGAGTGAACCTAAACCATGGCAAGAAAATAATAATTATAATAATAATTAGTCATTTAGCAGACGCTCTTATCCAGAGCGACTTACAGGAGCAATTAGGGTTAAGTGCCTTGCTCAAGGGCACATCGACAGATTTTTCACCTAGTCGGCTTGGGGATTAGAACCAGCGACCTTTCGGTTACTGGCACAACACTCTTAACCACTAAGCTACCAGAGCTGCCAGAACTCTCATTTACTCAAGTGTTTCCCTTATTTTGGTAGTTACCTGTATATTAGCATCCTGTGTATAACCTAATACAGTAGTTACACCTGTAGGTTTAATGGACTTTGGCACAACTGCTTGGCAGACTCACCTGTAATAAAAGGTGTAGTGTATATCCAAGTCTTTTCTCTGCTCCTGTAGCGTGTCTGTAACAGGGTTCTCTCGTTAACTCTTCAGGAGAATGTGTGAATGAACATCTGTGCAGATAAGATCTGGCTGCGTAGCTTTAAAAAAAGAGAAGTAGCGATGCTGGTCTCTGAGCGTGCTCTGTGGCTCTAACTGTCTCTGACTGTGTCTGTCCTGAGGTAGCAGTAGACTGCAGATTTATCTCCTCCCTCTCTCTCTCCCTCAGTCTGCCCTTCCCTGATTCTAAATATAGCATCACCATCCGTTTCCTATCCCTGAGCACTGTCATTGGATGATTTTGTTGATGAAAGGAAACAGAAAGAGAGGGGTAGGGATGAAGAGATTGAGATTATATATATATATATTATTTTATTTTTTATAAAGAGAACAGAGGTAAAAGTGGGGGCAGGTTGAGAGAGTTGTGGTAACAGAACATTTCTCAATCTAGCCCTGTTTATTACCAGGCTGTAATTAGCTCAGGTACAAAATAAAGCTGGTATACTACACCAATGTTTCTCTGATAAAAAGTGTCCTGCTTAGACATAGAACCCCTATAAAGTGGTAGAATGTAGCCTCAGTATCTCTGATAATATTACTGATGCCATAATGTCTCCAGGTGGCCTTATGATGTGTGTGTGTGTGTGTGTGTGTGTGTGTGTGTGTGTGTGTGTGTGTGTGTGTGTGTGTGTGTGTGTGTGTGTGTGTGTGTGTGTGTGTGTGTGTGTGTGTGTGTGTGTGTGTGTGTGGTGCGTGTGTGCGTGCGTGCGTGCGTGTGTGGTGCGTGCGTGGTGCGTGGTGCGTGGTGGTGCGTGCGTGCGTGTGTGTGTGTACGTACACACACCCTCCATATGTATCCTGGAGCATAGAGCAGAATTAAAAGATTTAGCTTCACTGTCCAAATACATATGGAGGGTGTGTGTACACACACACACACACACACACACACACCCTCCATATGTATTTGGACAGTGAAGCTAAATATTTTAATTCTGCTCTATGCTCCAGGATTTGAGATGTTTCATATGAGGCGACAGTACAGAATGTCACCTTTTATTTGAGGGTATTTTCATACACATCTGTTTTACCATTTAGAAATGAAAGCGCTACATGTATCTAGTCCCCCCATTTGAAGTCATAAGTATTTGGACAAATTCACTTATAGTATATTAAAGTAGTCAAAAGTTTAGTAGTCCCATATTCCTTGCATGTGTCACGGTTTTGGCCAAGGCTGCTCCTTCTCCTTGTTCGGGCAGGCTTCGGCGGTCGTCGTCTCCGGAGTACTAGCTGCCACCGTTCTATGTTTCGATGTTTGTTTGGTTTGGTCTGTTTTGTTACACCTGTTCCTTGTTAGTGTTAATTATGTGTCCTATAAGTTCTCTTGGGTTTTGTCATGTGTTGTGTGTAATTGTTCTTTGTCAACTTGGGATGCTAGTTCATTTATCTCTCGGTATTGTTTTGAAGAGAGTTCCGCACAGTGTGCGCCTTTTGTTTTGTACTATTACCGGTGTGCGTAAAGTTCGCTTGCCTGCCGGGTTGTATTTAGCCGTGTTGGCTTGTTCTTTTGTTGTCTTCACTAAAGACGTTAGTACGAAGCCTCTGTGTGTCCTGCGCTTGATTCCACACCACATCTACGCTCAACCTTGACAGCATGCAATGACTACATCAATCTTGTGACTCTACAAATTTGTTGGATGCATTTGTGGTTTGTTTTGGTTGTGATTTTCCCAATAGGAAGGAACTGAATGGTGAATAATGTATTGTGCCATTTTTGGAGTCACTTTTATTGTAAGTAAGAATATAATATGTTTCTGAATACTTCTACATTAATGTGGATGCTACCATATTTATGGGATAATCATGAATGAATCGTGAATTATGATGAGTGAGAAAGTTACAGAGGCACATAGATCATACTCTCAAAACATGTTTTGCTGTAGCCTCTGAACGGCATCTAACTCATCATTATTCAGGATTTATTCAGGATTTTTCTTAATCATGGCATTATCAGGATTAATTTAGAAGTGTTCATAAACATCTTATCTACTCACAATTACTCAAGTCATCATTCAGTTACTATTGGGCAAAACAGAACCCAAAACACATCCAAAACAAACTGCAAATTCATCCAACGAGTTTGTAGAGTCACAAGCTTGATGTAGTCATTGCGTGTAAGGAATATTTACCCTGATCAGCCAGTACCGTCAAGGAGCTGTTGAAGAGTTTTGAATCGGCTTTGAATAGTCAGAGGTACTACTTTAACCTATTACACCCTCTTCTGAACATTAACTATTATTGACAGTATATGAACTCTGTACAGTGGACTCTTCAGAAGCCAAGTCTACCCAGGTCACTCTGTGTACGTGTATCCTAGGGATTTGTCTGCCGTTAAAGGGGCTGACTAAACTTTTTTGGGGGGTCGCCTGTCCAAACAGTGCAAAAAAACTTAACGACTAAAACCAGATATAAAGTATGTAGAAAAGATCATGGACCTATACAGTTATATAATACAATCTTTGAGAACTAACAATCACCCAAGTAAAAGCTAGACAGTCAGGGAGAATTGAAAATTCCCAAAACAATTAATTTAGCAGTATAGATTTTGTTATGTTTGAGCGTAAGAACACAGCATTAGCCATGGGAAAATGTACAGAACTGCATGTTCTCTCAGCTCCATGGCAAAATGTGTAGAATTGCAGGAAATACAGTGGGGGAAAAAAGTATTTAGTCAGCCACCAATTGTGCAAGTTCTCCCACTTAAAAAGATGAGAGAGGCCTGTAATTTTCATCATAGGTACACGTCAAACTATGACAGACAAAATTAGAAACAAATTCTCCAGAAAATCACATTGTAGGATTTTTTATGAATTTATTTGCAAATTATGGTGGAAAATAAGTATTTGGTCACCTACAAACAAGCAAGATTTCTGGCTCTCACAGACCTGTAACTTCTTCTTTAAGAGGCTCCTCTGTCCTCCACTCGTTAACTGTATTCATGGCACCTGTTTGAACTTGTTATCAGTATAAAAGACACCTGTCCACAACCTCAAACAGTCACACTCCAAACTCCACTATGGCCAAGACCAAAGAGCTGTCAAAGGACACCAGAAACAAAATTGTAGACCTGCACCAGGCTGGGAAGACTGAATCTGCAATAGGTAAGCAGCTTGGTTTGAAGAAATCAACTGTGGGAGCAATTATTAGGAAATGGAAGACATACAAGACCACTGATAATCTCCCTCGATCTGGGGCTCCACGCAAGATCTCACCCCGTGGGGTCAAAATGATCACAAGAACGGTGAGCAAAAATCCCAGAACCACACGGGGGGACCTAGTGAATGACCTGCAGAGAGCTGGGACCAAAGTAACAAAGCCTACCATCAGTAATAATAATAATAATAATAATATGCCATTTAGCAGACGCTTTTATCCAAAGCGACTTACAGTCATGCGTGCATACATTTTTTGTGTATGGGTGGTCCCGGGGATCGAACCCACTACCTTGGCGTTACAAGCGCCGTGCTCTACCAGCTGAGCTACAGAGGACCACAGTAACACACTACGCCGCCAGGGACTCGAATCCTGGAGTGCCAGACGTGTCCCCCTGCTTAAGCCAGTACATATCCAGGCCCGTCTGATGTTTGCTAGAGTGCATTTGGATGATCCAGAAGAGGATTGGGAGAATGTCATATGGTCAGATGAAACCAAAATATAACTTTTTGGTAAAAACTCAACTCGTCGTGTTTGGAGGACAAAGAATGCTGAGTTGCATCCAAAGAACACCATACCTACTGTGAAGCATGGGGGTGGAAACATCATGCTTTACGGCTGTTTTTCTGCAAAGGGACCAGGACGACTGATCCGTGTAAAGGATAGAATGAATGGGGTAATGTATTGTGAGATTTTGAGTGAAAACCTCCTTCCATCAGCAAGGGCATTGAAGATGAAACGTGGCTGGGTCTTTCAGCATGACAATGATCCCAAACACACCGCCCGGGCAACGAAGGAGTGGCTTCGTAAGAAGCATTTCAAGGTCCTGGAGTGGCCTAGCCAGTCTCCAGATCTCAACCCCATAGAAAATCTTTGGAGGGAGTTGAAAGTCCGTGTTGCCCAGCGACAGCCCCAAAACATCACTGCTCTAGAGGAGATCTGCATGGAGGAATGGGCCAAAATACCAGCAACAGTGTGTGAAAACCTTGTGAAGACTTACAGAAAACGTTTGACCTGTGTCATTGCCAACAAAGGGTATATAACAAAGTATTGAGAAACTTATTTTCCACCATAATTTGCAAATAAATTCATAAAAAATCCTACAATGTGATTTTCTGGATTTTTTTTCCTCATTTTGTCCGTCATAGTTGACGTGTACCTATGATGAAAATTACAGGCCTCTCTCATCTTTTTAAGTGGGAGAACTTGCACAATTGGTGGCTGAATAAATACTTTTTTCCCCCACTGTATGCTTTAAAACTGCAAACATTTCTCTCAGCTCCATGGAGAAATGTGTAGAATTGCAGGAAATTTGTTTAACCTCTTAAGGATCGTACCTTTTTTTCAATTTTCGCCTAAAATTGCCTGTAGCTCAGGACCTGAAGCAAGGATATACATATTCTTGATACCATTTGAAAGGAAACACTTTGAAGTTTGTGGGAATGTGAAATTAATGTAGGAGAATATAACATATTAGATCTTCTCAAAGATAATACAAAAAAAATTTATTTTTTATTTTTTGTTCCATCATCTTTTAAATGCAAGAGAAAGGCCACAATATAATATTGCAGTTTAGGCGCAATTTAGATCTTAGCCACTAGATGGCAGCAGTGTGTGTGCAAAGTTTCAGATTCATCCAGTGAAGCGTTGCAATACTGGACTTTTTTGTACCAAGTCTGCCCTAATGTGCTGAATTGGTCAATTGATACATTTTCAAGTACATAACTATAGAGAACATACAAAAATGATATGGTAATATAAAATGTAAGTTTACACACTCCCAGGAATGTCATACATAATGGATCATTAGCTTATAAACTAACATGATGGATCATTAGTTTATACACTAACTTTCACACATCTAGATGGCCGGGCGGGGTGGGTGTGGAGCCAGAGACAGCAGGGGTTCAAACTGTAGAAACCAGTTCCTACATTTGAATATAAAAATGGATTTTATAAAATAAAACTATGCTACATTTTATCTCTGGGACCCTTAGGATGACAAATCAGAGCAAGATTACTGAATGTAAGTACATTATTTACCTTCAGAGGTGAATGTATCAAACTAGTTGCCGTGATACGTTTTTCGTTGTTGTGCACTCTCCTCAAACAATAGCATGGTATCTTTTCACTGTAATAGCTACTATAAATTGGACAGTGCAGTTAGATTAACAACAATGTAAGCTTTCTGCTCATATAAGACATGTCTATGTCCTGGAAAGTTTGCTGTTACTTACAACAGTCATGCTAATCACATTAGGGCACGTTAGCTCAACTGTCCCGTATACGGGACACCGATCGCGTAGAGATTACAAATGCCAAAATATTCTCTCAAATTCAGCCATGCTGATGGGCAGACATCACTGGGTTTCAAGGAAATCTGTTTCTTGGAGAGATTAGGCAACAGAGGGCAAGAAGGCAATGTCATCAAGGGGTTACTCAAAGCTGGGACCGAGAGACTGAAAAACAGCTTCTATCTCCAGGCCATCAGACTGTTAAATAGCCACCACTAGCCGGCCTCCGCCCAGTACCCTGCCCTGAATTTAGTCACTTTTACTAGCCGGCTACCTTAGAGACTGCTGCCCTATGTCATAGTCATTGAACAATGGTCACTTTAATTATGTTTGCATACTGTTTTACCCACTTCATATGTATATACTGTATTCTAGTTAAGGCTCATCTTATATAACTACTGCTGTACACACCTTTTCAATTCATATACTGTAAATACTGTCTATACACACCATTATATACATATATACTGAGTGTACAAAACATTAGGCTCACCTGCTCTTTCAGTGACAGACTGAACAGGTGAATCCAGGTTAAAGCTGTGATAACTTATTGATGTCACCTGTTAAATCCACTTCAATCAGTGTAGATGAAGGGGAGGGGACATGTTAAAGAAGCCTTGAGACAATTGAGACATGGATTGTGTATGTGTGCCATTCAGAAGATGAATGGGGAAGACAAAGGATTTAAGTGCCTTTGAACAGGGTATGGTAGTAGCTGCCAAGCGCACCAGTTTGAGTGTGTCAAGAACTGTAACGCTGCTGGGTTTTTCACGCTCAACAGTTTCCCGTGTGTATCAAAAATGGTCCACCACCCAAAGGACATCCAGCCAACTTGACACAAATGTGGGACGCATTGGAGTCAACATGGGCCAGCGTCCCTGTGGAACGCTTTAGGCACCTTGTAGAGTCCATGCCCCAACGAATTAAGGCAATTCTGAGGGCAAAAGAGGGTGCAACTCAATATTAGGAAAGTGTTCTTAATGTTTTGTACACTCAGTGTATATTTATATTCTAGATTTTGACGTTGATCTTTTTTGATATTTCTTAATTTCGTTATTTTTATGTGTTGGATTTGTGTGTATTGTTTTGTATTGCTAGTTATTACTGCGCTATTGGAGCTAGAAACTTAAGCATTTTGCTGCACTTGTAATAAAATCTGCTAAATATGTGTACGCGACCAATAACATTTGATTTGATTTGACCTCCACACACAGAGGGGAGGGAGAGAGAGAATGAGTACCTTGTCAGTGCAGACAGTGTTCTTTGAGGATTTGTACTTTTCCATTCATTCATATCCATTAATTCCAGTTAGGACAACAAATGCCACATGCCTTTTTTGCCCTTAGAGAGAGGTTCATAAGTTATGAGTTGAGAACAGTGTGAAATGGGAACAGGGCAGAGAGTGTTGGTGTGTGATTGGGTTGAGAATAGTGTGAAATGGGAACAGGGCAGAGAGTGTTGGTGTGTGTTTGGGTTGAGAATAGTGTGAAATGGGAACAGGGCAGAGAGTGTTGGTGTGTGATTGGGTTGAGAACAGTGTGAAATGGGAACAGGGCAGAGAGTGTTGGTGTGTGATTGGGTTGAGAACAGTGTGAAATGGGAACAGGGCAGAGAGTGTTGGTGTGTGATTGGGTTGAGAACAGTGTGAAATGGGAACAGGGCAGAGAGTGTTGGTGTGTGTTTGGATTGAGAACAGTGTGAAATGGGAACAGGGCAGAGAGTGTTGGTGTGTGTTTGGGTTGAGAACAGCAGTGGCTGGGGGGTTCTGGATGTCATAGGAAATTATTGGTGGTGGTGCAGCCTCACCCTTAGGCAGAGAAACACTTTGTGTGTGTGTGTGTGTGTGTGTGTGTGTGTGTGTGTGTGTGTGCATATGAAGAGATGACTTATACTCAGTCTTTACATCCCATCTATAGAAAGATCCCTTTCTTTTTTAGACTCTCTAATGTGAGTAGTCATAAGAGAGAGCAGCTAGCGAGTACCTCACTCTAAATGCTACTCTGATTCATAGAAGATTTACACACACCACACACACACACACACACACCCCACACAGGCAGTGGTTAGAGAAGGATATGGCTATAAATAAAAATGTTGCATGCTGTCAGTACAGCGTGACCAGCATGACTTAATCTAGCCCTGATGAACAGGAGGTAGCACAGAGGATACAGCCTGACTCAAAGGTAACAATACTGATGGTTCTCAACAACAATATGATCCCATATATGCTCCAAGATCAATACGGAACAGACATTCATTCATAAAGAACAGGAAAAAATGAATTCATAGGAATGCTGCAACATGACATCACAAACTCTCTGTTATGTTTGACAGGCTGAGAAACAATATTGAAGTCAAAGTGAAAATTGTCACACATAAATGGGCTTTAAAATAACCAAATATATCCCCCCCTCCTGAGAATAGAAGATCAATTAATTTGGAAAGAGGAGAGCGAGAGGGGAGAGAGGAGAGGAGACAGAGGAGTCAACCTGTTGTCTGCGGCATTGTGTGTGACAGACGTGTGGTGAGCCATTGATGTCTACCAGCAGGATGCCACTTACCAAATGGCTTTTCTATGAAACTGTGATATAACCAACCTCGTTGTGTTTCATGGAACTGGACTCTGTTTTTGGGAGGGAAACAAACATCCTTATGTGTATCAGTTTGAACTAATGACCAGCTAGTATCCTAAATAGCCACATCTCTTACGTCTTCCAGAGTTATAAATTGCACAGAAACAACAATAGGCGTCTTTCAGTCTTCCTGTGGCTAATGCTCCTACATTGAGGAGAGATGTCACTGTGATTATTTGGAAAGGTCAAAGCACCAACAAATGATAAACAAATATGAAATTACCAGTTAATGCTAGAATCCTTAGTTGCTACACTGAACAAAAATATAAACGCAACATTCAACAATTTAAAGATTTTACTGACTTACAGTTCATATAAGGAAATCGGTCAATTGAAATAAATTCATTAGGCCCTAATCTATGGATTTCACATGACTGGGAATACAGATATGCATCTGTTGGACACAGATACCTTAAAAAAAAGATAGGGGCGTGGATTAGAAAACCAGTCAGTATCTGGTGTGACCACCATTTGCCTCATGCAGCACAACACATCTCCTTCACATAGAGTTGATCAGGCTGTTGATTATGGCCTGTGGGAATGTTGTCCCACTCCTCTTCAATGGCTGTGCGAATTTGCTGGATATGAGGCAGGAAATGGAACACACTGTCATACACGTCGATCCAGAGCATACCAAACGTGCTCAATGGGTGACATGTCTGGTGAGTAGGGCTGTTACGGTGACCGTATTACCGCCACACCGGCATTCATGAGTCAGTAAAATTCCACATGACCGTTGAGGCATGGTGATCTTCTCTTATGCACTCTGGACATGCGTTGGTAGTAGCCAACTTGCTAACGACCATCAGGTCCTAATGGCCAGGACAGCCTTTCTAAGGGGATGATTAATTCAAAACATCCATTCGCATATTAGAGCTTATGCATATGCATAGGTCTATATATGAGCCCCCCCCAAAACAACTGATTTCAAATTATGATTGTGCTGTTATACAATACATAGCCTACTGCATATTACACATGGCAGAAAAACACCCCCAAAAAACTGATTTAAGATGTCTTTGGTGCATAATTGGTCTAGCATATACTCCAAAATTAAAGACATTTGAGTAATGGCCTTTGACTGTGGACTGTATTATTATGTATACTGGATGGACTGGTTACCTTCTGCTACTCTCAAAAATTTATATCCATGAGTCTGGGAGAAAACGTATAGCCCTAGGCAATGCTGTTGGTTCATTGATTGTGCAGGGCGGCTTACAGTTAGCCTACAATTATAGTGCATTTGTATTTCATTTTGAATAGCCTAGTAATAGGGATTTTTTTATATTTTCTTAATTAATCGGGTGACACATTACCTTTAGCTATACAGAATATCTCACCACCATGCGTTTTCCAATCTCCTCCTCTCTCTCCTTTATTCCTTTCTTGAGCATGCAGAGGGGCTGTCCACAGTTTAGTGAAATATGTCATTGCAAAAACATGTTACTATCAATGTTTCGAACAGATTTCACTTGGTTTCCCAAATTAAGCACTGGGTAGCTGCAGGAACATGGTTGGAGAGCCCAAGGCATACAGAGTTTGGGGCGGAATATCACCTGTCAGGCAGTGAGAGCATGCTCCTCAAACAGTGGATGATGCGTGGAGTGAAATAAGTGTTCTTATATTTACTTCTCAGCTGCTCATATTAAGGACATGCTCTGCTATAAAACCGAAGTAGCCTACCCAGCATCATTGAAAAACCACCCAGCAGGAAAGCGCGTGGCCTCCATACGCTATTCGAGTGCATAAGGGTGTATTTTCTTCCCCTGACCCTGTTCCTGCCCATTTGATAATGGGCCATTCTATATCGAAAATAAATTTTACATATTAGTAAACACAAGATTCAATTGAGAATAGTCTGATGGGTGAAAACATGATCACTTGATGAGAGAACAGCTGTGCAGCCTGAGGCAACTTTCTCAAATCATCAATAGCGTATAGCCACATAATGCTGCTCATATACAGTATCTTTTGATTTCCAAGGAAATTCTAAGGTTTGTATCATTCACAACTTAAGTTGCCAAATAACTCTAAATCTACCGTATAATAATACTTTTTACACTCAATTTAGCCACTTCCTATGTGCTCTAGCTCCGGAATGGGAAAAATATAATTCATATTTTATTCAGCTAAATTCAATTAAAATGTTCTGTGTCCACACACTTTTGTATATACATTTGTGGTCAAAGGTTTTGAGAATGACACAAGTATTGGTCTTCACAAAGTTCGCTGCTTCAGTGTTATGAGATATTTTTGTCAGATGTTACTATGGTATACTGAAGTATAATTACAAGCATACAAGTGGTCCTCTGTAGCTCAATTGGTAGAGCATGGCGCTTGTAACGCCAGGGTAGTGGGTTCGATCCCCGGGACCACCCATACGTAAAAATGTATGCACACATGACTAAGTCGCTTTGGATAAAAGTGTCTGCTAAACGGCATATTATTATTCCATAAGTGTCAAAGGCTTTTATTGACAATTACATTAAGTTTATGCAAAGAGTCAATATATACCCTTCTTTTTCAAGACCTCTGCAATCCACCCTGGCATGCTGTCAATTAACTTCTGGGCCACATCCTGACTGATGGCAGCCCATTCTTGCATAATCAATACTTGGAGTTTGTCAGAATTTGTGGGTTTTGTTTGTCCACCCGCCTCTTGAAGATCGACCACAAGTTCTCAATGGGATTAAGGTCTGGGGAGTTTCCTGGCCATGGACCCAAAATGTTGATGTTTTGTTCCCCAAGCCACTTAGTTATAACTTTTGCCTTATGGCAAGGTGCTCCATCATGCTGGAAAAGGCATTGGTCGTCACCAACCTGTTCTTGGATGGTTGGGAGAAGTTGCTCTCGGAGGATGTGTTGGTACCATTCTTTATTCATGACTGTGTTCTTAGGCAAAATGGTGAGTGAGCCCACTCCCTTGGCTGAGAAGCAACCCCACACATGAATGGTCTCAGGATGCTTTACTGTTGGCATTACACAGGACTGATGGTAGCGCTCACCTTGTCTTCTCCGGACAAGGTGTTTTCCGGATGCCCCAAACAATCGGAAAGGTGATTCATCCGAGAAAATGACTTTACCCCAGTCATCAGCTGTCCAATCCCTGTACCTTTTGCAGAATATCAGTCTGTCCCTGATGTTTTTCCTGGAGAGAAGTGGCTTCTTTGCTGCCCTTCTTGACACCAGGCCATCCTCCAAAAGTCTTCGCCTCACTGTGCGTGCAGATGCACTCACACCTGCCTGCTGCCATTCCTGAGCAAGCTCTGCACTGGTGGTGCTCTGATCCCGCAGCTGAATCAACTTTAGGAGACGGTCCTGGCGCTTGCTGGACTTTCTTGGGCGCCCTGACGCCTTCTTCACAATAATTGAACCTCTCTCCTTTAAGTTCTTGATGATCCGATAAATGGTTGATTTAGGTGCAATCTTACTAGCAGCAATATCCTTGCCTGTGAAGCCCTTTCTGTGCAAAGCAATGAAGATGGCACGTGTTTCCTTGCAGGTAACCATGGTTAACAGAGGAAGAACAATGATTTCAAGCACCACCCTCCTTTTAAAGCTTCCAGTCTGTTATTCTAACTCAATCAGCATGACAGAGTGATCTCCAGCCTTGTACTCGTCAACACTCTCACCTGTGATAACGAGAGAATCACTGACATGATGGCAGCTGGTCCTTTTGTGGCAGGGCTGAAATGCAGTGGAAATGTTTTTTTGGGGATTAAGTTCATTTTCATGGCAAAGAGGGACTTCATCTGATCACTGATCATCAAAACTGAGGCAGCAGACTTTGTGAAAATTAGTATTTGTGTCATTCTCAAAACTTTTGACCACGACTGTATAGCGTAACTAATAAATGCCTCATGAGCTTAGTTCGACTGTCGTGCTCCATCAGAACCCAAAATATAAGCTTGTTTTACTCCAATGTTTGTAAACAATGTAAATGTAAACAAACTACCTCTGGAAGCAACGCCAGCACAGGAACTCATAGTCTGGAGCTTCATGAAATGGGTTTCCATAGCCGAGTAGCCGAACACAAGCCTAAGATCCCCATGCACAATGCCAAGCGTCGGCTGGAGTGGTGTAAAACTTGCCGCCACTGGACTCTGGAGCAGTGGAAACGCGTTCACTGGAGTGATGAATCACACTTCACCATCTGCCAGTCCGACGGACTAATCTGGGTTTGGCAGATGCCAGGAGAACGCTACCTGCCCCAATGCATAGTGCCAACTGTAAAGTTTGGTGGAGTAGGAATAATGGTCTGGGGCTGTTTTCATGGTTCGGGCTAGGCCCCTTAGTTCCAGTGAAGGGAAATATTAATGCTACAGCATACAGTGACATTCTAGACGATTCTGTGCTTCCAACTTTGTGGCAACCGTTTGGGGAAGGCCCTTTCCCGTTTCAGCATGACAATGCCCCCGTGCACAAAGCAAGGTCCATACAGAAATGGTTTGTTGAGATCGGTGTGGAAGAACTGGCCTGCACAGAGCCCTGACCTCAACCCCATCAAACACCTTTGGGATGAACCGGGAACGCCGACTACGAGCCAGGCCTAATCGCCCAACATCAGTGCCTGAACTCACTAATGCTCTTTTGGCTGAATGGAAGCAAGTCCCCGCAGCAATGTTCCAACATCTAGTGGAAAGCCTTCCCAGAAGAGTGGAGGCTGTTATAGCAGCAAAGGGCGGACCAACTCCATATTAATGACAATGATTTTGGAATGAGATATTCGACGAGCAGGTGTCCACATACTTTTGGTCAAGTGGCGCAGTGGTCTAAGGCACTGCATCACACTGCTAGCTGTGCCACTAGAGATCCTGGTTCGAATCCAGGCTCTGTCATAGCCAGCCGCGACCGGGAGACCCATGGGGCGTTGTACAATTGGCCCAGCGTCGTCCAGGGTAGGGGAGGGAATGCCTGGCAGGGATGTAGCTCAGTTGGTAGAGCATGGCGTTTGCAACACCAGGGTTGTGGGTTCGATTCCCACGGGGGGCCAGTATGAAAAATAAAAAAACTAATGTATGCACTCGCTAACTGTAAGTCGCTCTGGATAAGAGCATCTGCTAAATGACAAAAATGTAAAAGTAGTGTGTGTCTATGCATTTGAGAGTGGTTACATTTCTCCAGGCCCTTTCCTCAGCTTTTGACCAAAACAGAGGTGAGGGTGACCACTTTGTTCTTGTTTCAGTTAGGGACTCTAGCTTTAAATGTTAAAAGAAAATCTTAAAACAACAAACAGAAGAACAGCACATCTGGCTAAGAACAACCTGTTCTTGGTCTGTAACAAACATTTGATCTGGATTGATAAGTGGACGCTCAACAAGAATGGGACACAATGTAAACCATTACTGTGAATTACCTCCTCACCGACCCGTGTTTCTTATTGAATTCTGAGAAAGGCTAAAGAACATTCTTCTACAGCAGAAATGTACTAATCTAATATCTATGTTCTTGTTCTGTTCTTGTTGTTCTGTGCCCGTGCTGATAAGATCAGGGTGAGAGAGATTAGAGGAACCACTGCTGCAGATTTAGGGACACTTAATTCACTAACATGAAATCAACTCTCTATTTGTGTGTGTGTGTGTGTGTGTGTGTGTGTGTGTGTTAACAATACAATTTTGAACATCCACTCACATCAGACTACATTAGATCTACTCATTCTGTAGAGTAGCCCACTTGTCTTACCACCGAGGCTACAAGGTTACATTCTGAATGGAAATGCAATGGACATATCACACATGCTAAATCACACATTATAAATAGCCATGTTTCACAGGCCAAGTCATCAAGGCTCTCCCCTTTGTCTCCAACCCTTTCATAGCTGTTGTTCTTCATGTGTGATGGGATAATGTCATAGTGATGGGAAACACAGTGGTTAATGTGATGCCTGTCACACTACATACTGACTCACATATCCATGACCTATATACAAGGATACAACACAGTATTCTCTCTCACACACATACACACACAAACGTATTGCCTTGAGGTACACCAAGGACACAAACATGTTGGAGAGAACAGAGGTCAATACTATGGTTAACTTCCCCTTATGTTAGGACTGTCGCCACAGTCCACGGCTGTATGATGGGTCAGTTAAGATTACAAGCTCAACCAGAGGCTAGCTAAAGGAACCCGTGGAAATGTGATTAGTTCAAGAGAGAGAGAGAGAGGAACTCATGAACAGGGAGGAGGTTACTATGAGACAAAGCGCTGCGACTATGTCAGAGAGAGAGATAAAAGGAGCTCAATTTATGTGTCCTCTGTGTCGCCAGCATCAAGGTGAGGAAGGTGTGTGTGCATGTGTGTGTGTATGTGCGCATGCATGCGTGGTGTGTGTGTGTGTGGTCGAGGCCATCTGAAGCCCTACATGGGAGTTCAGCGCACTTGTGTTTCTACGAAGGGTTTATGGAGCACAAGAAAGGCATGTTTTGTTATTAAAAGCAATGTCAGTGTAAGAGCTATGCCATCTCCTATTAATACATATTATTTAGAGCAATATGTTAATGTAACAGCATAACACAGCACAGGTAGACAGAGAAGTAGATAGAGAGGTGAAGAAGCCAGTACATGGACATGCACTGAGTGGACAAAACATTAGGAACACTTTCCTAATATTGAGTTGCACCCCATTTTGCCCTCAGAACAGCCTCAATTCGTTGAGGCATGGACTCTACAAGGTGTTCGAAAGCGTTCCACAGGGATGCTGTTCCATGTTGACTCCAATGCTTCCCACAGTTGTGTCAAGTTGGCTGGATGTCCTTTGGGTTGTGAACCATTCTTGATACACCTGGGAAACTATTGAGCATGGAAAACCCAGCAGAATTGAAGTTCTCGACACAAACTGGTGTGCCTGGCACCTACTACCATACCCGTTCAAAGGCACTTAAATCTTTTGTCTTTCCCATTCGCTCTCTGAATGGCACACATATACAATCCATTTCTCAATTGTCTCAAGGCTTAAAAATCCTTATTTAACCTGTCCTCCCCTTCGTCTACACTGATTGAAGTGGATTTAACAAGTGACATCAATAAGGGATCATAGCTTTCGCCTGGATTTACCTGGTCAGTCTGTAGTCCCCTGTAGCTCAGTTGGTAGAGCATGGTGCTTGCAACGCCAGGGTTGTGGGTTCGTTTCCCACGGGGGGCCAGTATGTAAATGTGTGCACTCACTAACTGTAAGTTGCTCTGGATAAGAGCGTCTGCTAAATGACTAAATTGTAAAATGGAAAGAGCAGGTGTTCCTAATGTTTTGTACACTGCTACTCTGCTTCCCTCTAGTGGTCAGTGATTAGACGAGACAGCGAGAGAGAGACTCATTGTAGACATTAGAACAGGAATATCATGCATCACCTGATAAGCAAAATACCACAGGCACTTGAACTTTAATAAATATTAAACATTAAGTTCTGATTCATATGTACAGGCAGATCCGTAGGTGATTTTGCAGCAGCTGCAAGACAAATTGCTCCGATAATAATAAAACTTGCCCTGAAAGCTTCTATTGTGAAGCAGTAGCTCCAAATAGATTTGTATCATTTTTCGTTCTTTGTTTTTGCTCTTTGAATATGTAGTGAATGGATAAGGTCTCTGTGACTCTTTGCTGGGCATTGCTTTCAGCACCAACAAGGATAAAAGCATTGCACCACCACTACTGACCATATCAACTCACAGACCTGATTATGATGACGGATTTCCTTCAATTAACCATCCAATTCACCTTAATAACCCCTACTGCATTTGATACTGTATATTATAAGAGATATATGGGGCTCTATTTTCGGCTGGCACTAGCGGCAAACGCATGTTAGTTTGCAAATTTGTCATGTAAAAACTGGCGCACTGCCATTTTCCAGCCCTAACGCCAGGCTCGGCAATTTACCTGTCTTATATCAGCTCTCTTGCACTCAGATGGGCGGGGTGGAACTATTTGAGGAGTGTCCTTAAAAACATGATCAAAAGTCCTAATTTCAGGCAGCGCTGACGGGGATATTTAAGACCAACCAAAAGCTGATTTTAGCAGTTGGTTATGGCATGAATTTTGACAGCGGAAACGCAGCCTATCCAGCCGTGACGCATTTGCGCATGGAACAAGAGTAGCCCAATGTGCTTTTGGTGCCTATGTACTTCGTATTTAGAAACATAAAAAACGAATGTTTTTTCCCATTTCGTTTATTTTTTTTATTTTTTTTTACCAAGCATAGCCTCCCCTCCTCTCAATTAAGACTTTTTTTGTCTGCCCAATGAAATCCGAAGTAGTCAAGACTGTCGATAAAAGGTTTGGCTCCTGAGACCGCTTGGAAATAAATCTTAATCACCAAAGCTTTATTAAAATATCAAGTTTGAGATGAGTAAAACAGTGAGCTGACATTCCCTTTTTATCTATTCATTGTAGGCAGGCCCACATTATTTTAGACATGTAGGTCCCGTTTTGGACTTGTGTAAAACCCCCGCCATAATGTAGGCTATGTATCAATGCCCATCATGAAACGAGAGATGAGAACCGCGGTGAATACCGGTGACGCTCCTATTTAAAAGTTATCTGTAACCTGTAATAAGTGCTTGTTTTCGGTTTCATATGTTCAAAACCCAAGCCCTCCCTTAGGCCTACTATAAGGAAGGCTGGTTCAACAGCAATGCTTGTCTTTTTTTATCCTTTAGATGTTATGAAATGTTCACATTTTAAATGTATTTATTGTTGTTTTAAAAAGAAACGTATTGTTTTTCCGTTTAATCTTATTACAACCAAACGTATTAGAATGATTCACCTTCCTGGTTTTATGGTGACAACGTCCATGGCGCGCTTGCAATGCAACTTCTGGAGATGTGTGAATGCGATCTGATCTGTAAAATGGTTCCGATTATGTTCATAAAACATAGGCCTATTTAGGAGCAGTATAAAGGTGAGTGGACATTCTCTTTCTCTTTATATTGGACCTTTGTCCAGCTACTGTGAAAGGTTTGGACATGCGTAAAACGCTCCATAGTCTGCGTTGTTTTAATATTATAACAAGTTGTTGTTTTGTTTAGAATTTGATTAGAATTAGTCATTCTCTTTTTAGGCCTTATAAACAGTTAATTTAATCTTGTTTATTGACAATGTTTGGCATGACCATGCTCTGCCATAATGCAATTTACAGTAGACTTAGCTCCTATATCAGTGTGAATGCTATTGAAGCCATTCAATTACTTACAACAATGTGGACGGCAAATGGGTTCAAGTTAACATATTTAGCAAAGATGGGTCTACATTTTGTTATTTCGTTCTGTAAGCCATTTAACAAACTATAACGGACTAACATTGGAATCGGAGTTGATTCCAAGGCAATACATAAAGGCCGTAAATACACAACTTGAAGCAACCACATATTTCGCATGGAGCATGTTCTGATTGTCCGGTGAGGGCCCAAACTTCGACACACCGACAACTTGTTTATTCATCAAAACCCAGCCCTTTCGCGCCAACGCCAGGGAGTGCACAGATAATTGTGATAGTGAAAATAGCTAAACATTTCTGACACACTCGAGAGCCTATAGCGCTACCGCCTGCGCTTAGATTTACCATAACGTTAGGTTTGATAAAATGGAGCCCATGGAATCATTTAAAAATCACACATATTCCAACAGAGCACCAATAAAATCCAATAGAGTTGTCAGCAATGGCCCTCCATAGTCCCCCAGAGCTCTTGTTCATTGACGCCCTGAGAAGCAGCAGAAAGGGGCATGTGAAAAAAAATCCACTGAGTCTGACATACAGTCGATGTGTAATGGACATGGCATTGGCAGCACTGCGCTAACCCATTAGCTTCCAGAGTTTTACACGACCAGGAGAAGGGATATTCTGGGGGATATGAGATATGTGGGTTCATCCCAATAGTCTAAGCTAGGCTTCTTCTCTGTATCTCATCTGCACAGATCTAAAGGGGGAAAAACAGGGTAGGTGAATGCACTACGGTGGATATCCACCAGGTATTTGCTTTCACCATTCCAACTCTTTCTCATCCGTGCAGACGACGTAAAGGAGACGAAAGGGGAGGAAACCACTTTAGACTATTAATATGGACCTCTGGTGAACTGATGTGGCATAGTCTGTTTTTATATCTCCAAACCTCCAGAGTGTCTGTCTGCCCTGTACAGTACCCTGATTCAGAAATGTTGTGTCCCAAATGGCAGTCTATTCTAGGGTTGAATATTTTCCCGGTATTTTACAAATATTCCATCCCGAGAATAAATAACTTTTCTCCTGCTGAACCCGGTATTTCCCGCCCAAACCGGAAGTGTCTGGATTTTATTAGAGCTTTGATCAGCATGAAAATTCAAACCTGATGCTACCTGAGCCTGACGAGCCATATATGAAATACCTTTTATGAGCCCTACATTAACAACATTTAATGAGCCCAAGCCCAAAAAAGCCCAAATGATTGTGCCATTATCCAATACATATACTGTATGATATAGGCTACTGCGCATTACGCACGACATAAAAACATAAAAGCCCATAGATGTAGTTCTCTAGGGTAAATAAATGAAACTAGCTGCAGTAGGCTCATCTTATTGAGTGTGAACTGGAATTACGCACATCGTTCAAACATTTACATTTTAGTCATTTAGCAGACGCTCTTATCCAGAGCGACTTACAGGTGCAATTAGGGTTAAGTGCCTTGCTCAAGGGCACATCGACAGATTTTTCACCTAGTCGGATCGGGGATTAGAACCAGCGACCTTTCGGTTACTGGCACAACGCTCTTAACCACTAAGCTACCTGCCACATGATAAAGCAGAAGTGAACATTCGATTATGGTGCAGCACATGCGGCCTACAAAGTTACAAGTATAGACTAGCAAATTTGATTTTAATTTTGAAATATAATAGTTTTATAATAGTAATTTGTATAATTAGTACGCTGACGCATATATATCTTTCATAATATTTCCTCTAATGTTATTAGCCTACCTCCTCTTTCTCTCTCTATTGTTGCTCCATTCCTTCCTCGTTTTCAACAGTTAAATGAAATAAGTTTTGTTGTCTTTATCTTAATCATTCTAATAACATCCTTGAATAATATAGGACTAGAATTAGATGCAGAAGGCTTTCACTTCTCTTCAAGAAGATTGAATGGTTATGGGTCTAAGTAAATGTCACGCCCTGGCTCTGGGGACTCTAATATGTTGAGCCAGGGTGTGTATAGTCTATGTGTGTTCTAGGTTTCACTTGCTGGTTTTGTAGATCTATGTTGGCCAGGGTGGCTCCCAATCAGAGACGGCTGTAGCTCGTTGTCTCTGATTGGGAGTCATACTTAGGTAGCCGTTTGGCACTCATTCATTGTGGTTTCTTGTTCGTATTTGGTTTGTGTATTACCATTGACTGTCACGTCATCGTTTTGTTGTTTTGATCGTGTGATCAGTCTATAAATAAATATGTTCGCCTTCAACGCTGCGCCTTGGTCCTCCTCTATATATGACGATCGTGACAGAAGAAACCACCAAGATTTGACCAAGCAGCGTGTCCAGGAGCCATCACCAGGGAGATCCCTAGCAGATCTCCTTTGCCTCCTCGACTGGGTCAAGCCGAGTGAGGAAGAGAAGGGCTTGACATTATGGCAGAAGGGCGAAAGGCTGGCGAGGGACATGGAGACCTGGTCCACGGGTAGGAGAGACGCCCAGAAATTTTTTAGGGGGGGGCTAACGCCGTGGACGACGGGCCAGCAGGAGACCGCGGCAGAGCGGCCCAGCGGATTGGCAGAGGAGGCCGCCAGGTTACGGGGGCCACTGGTCGAAGAGGGGGTGGAAGGTGTAGAGGCACGGCGAGAGGTACTGGGGTGTGTTACCAGTCCGGTCCGGCCCATTCCAGATCCCTGCGTAGGACCAGTGGTGTGTGTCCCCAGTACGGTCCGGCCTGTTCCTGCTCCCCGCACCAAGTCAGTGGTGCGCTTCGTCAGCCCGGCTCGGCCTGTTCCTGCTCCCCGCACCAAGTCAGTGGTGCGCTTCGTCAGCCCGGCTCGGCCCGTTCCTGCTCCCCGCACCAAGTCAGTGGTGCGCTTCGTCAGCCCGGCTCGGCCCGTTCCTGCTCCCCGCACCAAGTCAGTGGTGCGCTTCGTCAGCCCGGCTCGGCCCGTTCCTGCTCCCCGCACCAAGTCAGTGGTGCGCTTCGACAGCCCGGCTCGGCCCGCTCCTGCTCCCCACACCAAGCCAGTGGTGTGCGTCGTCAGTCCGGCACGGCCCGTGCCTGTTCCACCGGTGGCTGGTCCGGCACCGGTCAGATGCTTCACGCCGGAGCTAGAGCAATCCGCTCCACCAGTGTGCAGTCCAGCTCCGGCCAGCGGGGCCAGACCGGACCAGGGGTACTTTGGGGGGTTGGAGAGGGAGCGGGGATCAGGCCCGGAGCCGGATCCGCCGCCTAAGCGGAGTGCCCACCCGGTCCCTCCCCTGTGGTGTTTGGTGGGCGCGGTCGGAGTCCGCGCCTTTAGGGGGGGGTACTGTCACGCCCTGGCCCTGGGGACTCTAATATGTTGAGCCAGGGTGTGTATAGTCTATGTGTGTTCTAGGTTTCACTTGCTGGTTTTGTAGATCTATGTTGGCCAGGGTGGCTCCCAATCAGAGACGGCTGTAGCTCGTTGTCTCTGATTGGGAGTCATACTTAGGTAGCCGTTTGGCACTCATTCATTGTGGTTTCTTGTTCGTATTTGGTTTGTGTATTACCATTGACTGTCACGTCATCGTTTTGTTGTTTTGATCGTGTGATCAGTCTATAAATAAATATGTTCGCCTTCAACGCTGCGCCTTGGTCCTCCTCTATATATGACGATCGTGACAGTAAATAACTGATATAGTCCACCGCCATCGCGCGTTCGCTCTTCTTTCAAACTACCCGTGAGTTCTATTGGCTGCTGTATTTAACATTCAGCAAAAAAGAGCTTGCTTCCCTCTTTGAATAGTCTAATGCTATAAGAAATGCAAAAAAAAGATGTCCAGCAAGCTATTCTATTCTAGCTTTTCCTGCATGAGACTCCTAAGAGCTAAGGAGAGGCTAGCGGAGCACATGTGCTTGCGTATGGCGCAAGAGACAGAGGCTATAAAATAGAAGCTTATTATGTATAACCCATCATTAATTAGCTAAATATAAGGCTGTGTTGAACATATTACCTGAAAGAGGTAGGCTAGGACATCTACAGTGCCTTCGGAAAGTATTCAGACGCCTTGACTTTTTCCACATTTTGTTACATTACAGCCATATTCTAAAATGGATTAAATAAATAAAAATCCTCAGCAATCTACACACAATACCCCATAATGACAAAGCGAAAACAGGTTTTTATACATTTTAGCAAATGTATTAAAAATAAAAAACAGAAAAACCTTATTTACAGAAGTATTCAGCCCCTTTGCATTGAGACTCGAAATTGAGCTCAGGTGCATCCTGTTTCCATTGATCATCCTTGAGATGTTTCTACAACTTGTGGTCCACCTGTGGTAAATTCTATTGATTGGACATGATTTGGAAAGGCACACACCTGTCTATATGAGATCGCACAGTTGACAGTGCATGTCAGAGCAAAAACTAAGCTATGAGGTCGAAGGAGTTGTCCGTAGAGCCCAGAGACAGGATTGTGTCAAAGCACAGATCTGGGGAAGGGTACCAACACATTTCTGCAGCATTGATGGTCCCCAGGAACACAGTGGCCTCCATCATTCTTAAATGGAAGATGTTTGGAACCACCAAGACTCTTCCTAGAGCTGACCGCCCGGCCAAACTGAACAATCGGGGGAGAAGGGCCTTGGTCAGGGAGGTGACCAAGAACCTGATGGTCACTCTGACAGAGCTCTAGAGTTCCTCTGTGGAGATGGGAGAACCTTCCAGAAGGACAACCATCTCTGCAGCACTCCACCAATTAGGCCTTTATGGTAGAGTGTCCAGATGGAAGCCACTCCTCAGTAAAAGGCACATGACAGCCCACTTGGAGTTTGCCAAAAGGCACCTAAAGACCTGAAAATAGCTGTGCAGCAACGCTCCCCATCCAACCTGACAGAGCTTGAGAGGATCTGCAGAGAAGAATGGAAGAAATTCCCCAAATACAGGTGTGCCAAGCTTGTAGTGTCATACCCAAGAAGACTCAATGCTGTAATCGCTGCCAAAGGTGCTTCAAGTAAATGTGATATTTCAGTTGTTTATTTTTAATAAATTAGCAAACATTTCAAAAAACCTGTTTTTGCTTTATAATTATGGGGTATTGTGTGTAGATTAATGAGGGGAAAAAACAATTTAATCAATTTTAGAATAAGGCTGTAATGTAACAAAAATGTGGAAAAAGTTAAGTGGGTCTGAATACTTTCCGAAGGCACTGTATATATAGGGCTATATATCAATCTAGAACATGATTATCTATTTTGGATGCAATTTCAATGGAGTTGATGGAGAGAGAGAGAAAGACTGCAAGAGAGAGCTCGTGCACTGATTTAAAGCAATGATATTCAGGTTTTAAAACTCTGTAGCTGCAATAAAAAATACAATCATCTTTACAATTAAAAAAACAAGGTGACCCCCGAAAGCCAGATGGAGATGGGTAAATTAAACGCGCATTTGGTCTTTATTTTACTGTAGCATAGGCTATGCTGCAGCAAATGTAGGCCTACCTGTCACAAGTTACCATAATGAGATGATCGGTCTACATGCATTGTGAACTGCTCTCCATACTGAGATGGGTCTGTCCCCACCCTGAGCATTGATTCATCATGCATAGGCCGTAGAGAAGCCAGATTTAGACATTGCAATTAATTTAAGTTTCATTTTGTAGAGAAGCCAGATTTAGACATCACATATAATTTAACAGTTCCATTTCGTAGAGAAGCCAGATTTAGACATTGCATATCATTTAGCAGTTCCATTTCACGCCATGCTGTTTATATAAATAATTTATTATGATTGACCTGTTTCTTGCAGTTATTTATCCTGAGAAAAGCGAGTGGTTTGGGGCAGTAAATCCCGGTAAATCTTGGTAACCGGGTTCCCGCCATTCAACCCTAGTCTATTGCCTTTAAAGCACATTACTTTGGACCAGGGGCCATAGGGACATACCCCTAGAAAAAGACACATATGGACACTTCCTATCTAACATGTCTCATTAAATGGGATCAGACTGGTATTTATGTCTGTTTGACTTAAAGAGGGGGCATATCAACTGCAGTCATAGGCTGTAATCTAACATGGTATGTTAGACTTGTTTGGGATGAGCAAGCTTACCTGGGTTCTGGCATGGTGCTGGGGAATAAGACTTCATTTAAATAAAATCTACTTCGAGCTTTGTCGACTTTAATGGCCTGAAGGTCCAACGTTTCACGCCCTGAGCTTATCCAGGTGTGTGCTGCTTATTAAAGAGAAATACATATTTACTGTATGTGCCTTGCTCTGAAAACCTAAGCACACTGGGGGAGGTTTGGAGAGATAAAAGTTTCCCTTGTTATGGTGCAGGTTCAAGAGGATGTACGGTCCACAGCACATCTGGCTCTACTCTCAGCCTTACAACAAGACCAACCACTTTTATTCAAAACAACTGTGCAAACATCTGGCTTTGGTTCTCTCTCCACATAGTTCAGTTTGCCGTGTGGCTGGCTGGTGTGTGTGTGTAACAGAACAGGGCGGTATGTATGTCTGTACCGTGGCTCTGGATGTGTGGTGGGTAATTGCCTGACAGAGAGCACCAAGGCAGGTTGAGGGTTAAACAATAACTCCAGTCTGTTAGCAGACATAGGTAAATCTCTATAAGAGAAATCAGGGAGGGTAAGGGTCAAAGGTTAAGGTTTGAGGTCATCACGCAGCGCCCCTGTGGGCCCGCTTCATCCTCAACAGAAAGTTCCTCTTCTCCTCCAGGAGTTCCTGGATGCGTTTGTTCCGTGTTCTCTCCATGAGGAACACACGGCTTCGTCTGGGGATCAGGTTGTTTTGGGAGATGTCATTGTCCACTCCGATGATCCGGTTGTAGGGATCGTCGATGGAGTTGTTCTCGCTGGTGTCCTCCTGGCGGCTTGGCGGCCACGTGGGTTTTTTGGTTGTTGTTGTTGTCATCGTGGCGATGGTTGTTGTGGGAGGCGGGGCTGTCGTTTGCTCTGTTGTGGGAACAGTGGCCCTCACAGATATGTACTCTGTGAAATCCGACAAATCAGGGGTGGTCATATCTATGATGTCATCGCTGGGGACGGTAGGAATCATCACTGTCATCATTGTGACGTCATCTTCATAAGGCATGGTTCCACTGGGCATTGTGATATCACCATAGGGCGTGGTTCCGCTGTGCATTGTGACATCATTGCCATAGGGCATGGTTCCACTAGGGATTGTGACATCATCACCACTGGGCATTGTGACATCAGTGTATGGTATGGTTCCACTGGGCGATGTGACATCCTCAAAGTAGTTGGTTTCAGTTGGCTTTATGACATCATCCATGGAGAATAGGCTGCTGGGAGTTGTGGTTGATGCACCTGTGGTGTCGTTGCTGACAAAGGTGACGTCAGTGAAAGGGCTACTGGGAGTTGTAGTGTATGTGCTGGTTCTGGTGGAGAGGGTGAATGAGGGGTACTTCCTGGTTGTGTCTCTGGGGGTCACACTGTGCTCTGGGGTCATGGGGATGGGGTATGTGGTGTAGTATGGGTGGGGTGCTGTATAAGTGTCTGTGGTGCTCATTGGGCGTGGCGTGGTATAAGGTATATGTGTTATACTTCTTGGATGAACCGTGGGCTGAAAGGGGGTGTTGTTGTCCTTGGGTTGAGGCAGAGGCCGGGGGCGAGGCAGGGGGACAGCTGTGACCCGGGGAGGGGCGGTGGTGCTCAGGCTGCTGTCCGTCACGTTGCTGCAGGATTTGCAGCACATGCGCTTGTAGCCAGGCAGAGTGCAGTAGTGGATCAGCACCTCCATGCGACAGAACACTGACCTGTCTCCATGACAACGCTGCTTGCCTGTGGGGGAGAGAACACAGAGCTGAGACTGGGCGGGGCTGGAGATGGTGCTGTGGGAGTGTGTGTGTGTGTTTACAAACGGTTTAGTAAAGTAGTAGAGGTAATAAAGCCAGACCATTAACAACTAGAGCAGGAAGGAGGAGGAAGAAGAAGAAGAAGAAGAAGAAGAAGAAGAAGAAGAAGAAGAAGAAGAAGAAGAAGACCCAAGCAGCATTGACAGCAGAGTCAATAGATTAGTCCATAGCAACTAAAAGGGAAGAAGAAGAGTGGAGTGAGTTCTTTGTTGTTGTGGTGCTGGAACAGTAACCTGGCTCCAGTGTTGGGGAGTAGTGAACTACATGTAGTTTAACTACATTTTGCATTAGCTTTGTGGTAGTTGAACTAAATTCAAATCTAGGTAGTGTTTTCAGTATATATATTTTTGCAATGTAGCGGTGTAGCTCACTACTTGTACTACACACTACTTTAAAACATATATATACAGTGGGGGAAAAAAGTATTTAGTCAGCCACCAATTGTGCAAGTTCTCCCACTTAAAAAGATGAGAGAAGCCTGTCATTTTCATCATAGGTACACGTCAACTATGACAGTCAAATTGAGAAAAAAAAAATCCTGAAAATCACATTGTAGGATTTTTAATGAATTTATTTGCAAATTATGGTGGAAAATAAGTATTTGGTCACCTACAACAAGCAAGATTTCTGGCTCTCACAGACCTGTAACTTCTTCTTTAAGAGGCTCCTCTGTCCTCCACTCGTTACCTGTATTAATGGCACCTGTTTGAACTTGTTATCAGTATAAAATACACCTGTCCACAACCTCAAACAGTCACACTCCAAACTCCACTATGGTCAAGACCAAAGAGCTGTCAAAGGACACCAGAAACAAAATTGTAGACCTGCACCAGGCTGGGAAGACTGAATCTGCAATAGGTAAGCAGCTTGGTTTGAAGAAATCAACTGTGGGAGCAATTATTAGGAAATGGAAGACATACAAGACCACTGATAAACTCCCTCGATCTGGGGCTCCACGCAAGATCTCACCCCGTGGGGTCAAAATGATCACAAGAACGGTGAGCAGAAATCCCAGAACCACACGGGGGGACCTAGTGAATGACCTGCAGAGAGCTGGGACCAAAGTAACAAAGCCTACCATCAGTAACACACTACTCCGCCAGGGACTCAAATCCTGCATTGCCAGACGTGTCCCCCTGCTTAAGCCAGTACATGTCCAGGCCCGTCTGAAGTTTGCTAGAGTGCATTTGGATGATCCAGAAGAGGATTGGGAGAATGTCATATGGTCAGATGAAACCAAAATATAACTTTTTGGTAAAAACTCAACTCGTCGTGTTTGGAGGACAAAGAATGCTGATTTGCATCCAAAGAACACCATACCTACTGTGAAGCATGGGGGTGGAAACTTCATGCTTTGGGGCTGTTTTTCTGCAAAGGGACCAGGACGACTGATCCGTGTAAAGGAAAGAATGAATGGGGCCATGTATCGTGAGATTTTGAGTGAAAACCTCCTTCCATCAGCAAGGGCATTGAAGATGAAACGTGGCTGGGTCTTTTAGCATGACAATGATCCCAAACACACCTCCCGGGCAACGAAGGAGTGGCTTCGTAAGAAGCATTTCAAGGTCCTGGAGTGGCCTAGCCAGTCTCCAGATCTCAACCCCATAGAAAATCTTTGGAGGGAGTTGAAAGTCTGTGTTGCCCAGCGACAGCCCCAAAACATCACTGCTCTAGAGGAGATCTGCATGGAGGAATGGGCCAAAATACCAGCAACAGTGTGTGAAAACCTTGTGAAGACTTACAGAAAACGTTTGACCTGTGTCATTGCCAACAAGGGGTATATAACAAAGTATTGAGAAACTTTTGTTATTGACCAAATACTTATTTTCCACCATAATTTGCAAATAAATTCATAAAAAATCCTACAATGTGATTTTCTGGATTTTTTTTTCTCATTTTGTCCGTCATAGTTGACATGTACCTATGATGAAAATTACAGGCCTCTCTCATCTTTTTAAGTGGGAGAACTTGCACAATTGATGGCTGACTAAATACTTTTTTCCCCCACTGTATATGGGTGAAGTAGGCAAAACGTTTCTTTCTTTTTCATACCTGCTTAATTCTCACTTGAAACATTGTTTTTGTGTTTAATAGGCAAAATTACACATTCTGTTAACATATGACCCCAAAGTGATCTGTTCTTGTAATTTATAGTCTATGACATTTCTGATTTACATGAAGTTAACTACTTTTTCAAAGTAAATTTAGTTTAATAAACTATATTTTTCTTAAGGGTAGCTTTTGTGTAGTTTAACTTTTTTTTGTGTGAAGTAATTGGTAGCTTGGTAAACTATATTTTCAGAGTAGCTTCCCCAACACTGCCCGTCTCTTTGCAGACCAAACTAAATGTTTCTGACATCTCATCTGTCTTTCTTTATTCGTTTCAGATCAGTGTAAATTTACTATATCAATATCACTTCATTCATATTTTTTTATGCAGGATAAGAGGCTTGATCTTCTTTAATCTGTCTTTCATTATTCATGGCAATATCACTTAATTAGACAATGTTTTACCCTTTGTAAGGTTGGAGCAATCTTCGAGTTGCGTTATACCTCACACCAAGTCAAACCATCACAAACTCAGGAGGAGAGAGCGAGAGCACTTTTTAAAACATTTTATTATTTATACAACTTTGCAGTTGATAATGACAGGAACTAAAACAATGAGATGTACTCCCTCCTCAATATATAGATATATTATTTTCTTAAGAAAAATAAATCAACTGTATCGAAAGGTACATGTTCACAGTCACTTTGGTAAAACACTTCATTACTGGGAAGTCAACCAATCAATCCGTTTAGTTAATCAATTGATAAGAAGTCAAATGAATAAATTACATAAATGAATAAATAGATTTGAAGTTGAATAAATAAAATACAGAATTCTCCATGATGAATGATGTAAAAACTGGAATGGCACGTTTAAGTGTCATATGAAACATTTACAAAACGTTAATACATTTTTCCCTGATAAATCAAAGTGCATATAGACATAGTGCACATAGTCCTTCTGAATGTTTCCCCGACGTCAATCCAACGTCAATCCGATGTCAATCCGACGTCAATCCAACGTCAATCCAACGTCAGCCAGCCCCACCCAGCAGGCTAGTGAAGCCACGAAACAGTTACCCATAGTATAGAATATTATATATATTTTTTTCCCATAAGTAAGAAGATAACAGTCATAAACATTATTAAATACAGTCAACACCAACATTATATACAGTATCGCACTGCAAGGTCTAGCTTAATTGGCCTCCTACCGTCCGACTCCAGCATGAAACATCGGATAGCTCGCTACTAGTCACAACAGAAATATGTGATCACAATGCAATGATAAGACTGAAGTGTTTTTCTAGATGTCGTCCTCAGTGTGTCGATCGATACCCTGGGCCCTTTGTAAACCATACCCGGTGGTCAGACCACGGTCCAAACCTTTTGCTTGTTGCAGGTTCTGATCGTTTGCCTGTGTTTGCCTGTTAATTTGAAGCTGCCTCTAAGTGATTAATAAAGGTTTTGATGAGTAAAGCCATCTCTTTCACAGATAAATGCCATTACATTCAATCCAAGATAAGGCATTGTTCATGTGTTTAATGTTCATCACAAAAGGAAAAACAAGATCTGATGCTTTCAAATGAAGGTTTATGAGGTATTTATGTTTCAGAGTTGTATGTCTACAAGAAGCCTGCATGAACACGCACACACACACACACACACACACACACACTCACACACACACACACACACACACACACACACACACACACACACACACACACACACACACACACACACACACACACACACACACACACACACACACACACGTAAGGAATGCAAATGTGCATGACAGAAAGGTGATCCTTTCCCTAAAGAAAAAAGGAGCGACAGTAAACCCCATCCATCTGAGAAAATGGATCGGCAACTAACTGACCAAGTCCTGCATAATATAGGTCTATACCCCCTTCCCCCCTGACGCTGTAAATATTCACTTCTGTATTATTCATGTAAAATCAATAAAAAAATACACATAACAGTCAAGGATCGAAGTGATCAATAGCAGTCTGTAGGTTATAATAAACTACAGCTTATTCATGGTAAAACATTATTATATTATTCATATTATTGTTACTCATATAGATTTTCATATATATATATATATATATATATATATATATATATATATATATACAGTTGAAGTCGGAAGTTTACATACACTTAGGTTGGAGTCATTAACACTCGTTTTTCAACCACTCCACAAATTTCTTGTTAACAAACTATAGTTTTGGCAAATCGGTTAGGACATCTACTTTATGCATGACACAAGTAATTTTTCCAACAATTGTTTACAGACAGATTATTTCACTTATATTTCACTGTATCACAATTCCAGTGGGTCAGAAGTTTACATACACTAAGTTGACTGTGCCTTTAAACAGCTTGGAAAATTCCAGAAAATGATGTCATGGCTTTAGAAGCTTCTGATAGGCTAATTGACATAATTTGAGTCAATTGGAGGTGTACCTGTGGATGTATTTCAAGGCCTACCTTCAAACTCAGTGCCTCTTTGCTTGACATCATGGGAAAATCAAAAGAAATCAGCCAAGACCTCAGAAAAAAAATTGTACACCTCCACAAGTCTGGTTCATCCTTGGGAGCAATTTCCAAACGCCTGTAGGTACCACGTTCATCTGTACAAACAATAGTACGCAAGTATAAACACCATGGGACCACGCAGCCATCATACCGCTCAGGAAGGAGAACTATATATACCGCTCAGGAAGGAGAACTAAGACAGAACTATATATATAGTTCTGTCTCCTAGAGATTAATGTACTTTGGTGCGAAAAGTGAAAATCAATCCCAGAACGACACCAAAGAACCTTGTAAAGATGCTGGAGGAAACAGGTACAAAAGTATCTATATCCACAGTAAAACGAGTCCTATATCGACATAACCTGAAAGGCCGCTCAGCAAGGAAGAAGCCACTGCTCCAAAACTGCCATAAAAAAGCCAGACTACGGTTTGCAACTGCACATGGGGACAAAGATTGTACTTTTTGGAGAAATGTGCTCTGGTCTGATGAAACAAAAATAGAACTGTTTGGCCATAATGACCATCATTATGTTTGGAGGAAAAAGGGGGTGGCTTGCAAGCCGAAGAACACCATCCCAACCGTGAAGATTGACCCAAGTTAAACAATTTAAAGGCAATGCTACCAAATACTAATTGAGTGTATGTAAACTTCTGACCCACTGGGAATGTGATAAAATAAATAAAAGCTGAAATAAATAATTCTCTCTACTATTATTCTGACATTTCACATTCTTAAAATAAAGTGGTGATCCTAATTGACCTAAGACAGGGAATTTTTTCTAGGATTAAATGTCAGGAATTGTGAAAACTGAGTTGAAATGTATTTGGCTAAGGAGTATGTAAACTTCCGACTTCAACTGTATATATATATATATAGAAATACAAACATATTTATAGGTGTATTTGTTTTAAAGTTTGCAAGCATAAATAAGCTGCAGTTATTGAACTTTAATATAACAGTCAAAGAGAGGATGTCTGATGAGGTGGTGAAATGGGAAGCAACCTCACATGGTAAAACTACCCTGTTTTCATTAGCCTATTACTCTTCTGCACTCTTTACCTCTTCACCCAACAGCTCCGTATATAATATTCCTAAAAAGTGTTGGTTTGTGTCACCTCCTGTCCCTGTGCTGAGTTCCTGTCAGTCAGAGAATAGGACCTAGAACGAGATGAACCATCGTTGTCATTTTGAATGGAACCAGGATGTGAGATGAGCACTTTAACAAAGATGTCCTCATTGTGACAAGATCACATTCACAATAAAGCTTTAGTTTCTTTTTTTTTTTTTTACACATATTTGTATTTTTTAAATCTTCGTTATTTTCACACTTGTCGCCCCGGACGATGACGGCGTGGTGACCCCAAAAAATCGCAGCCGCATCTCAGGAGCGTGACCCATGACGACCCGCAGCTAGCTCACGCAAAACATGGCCGCCAAACAGAGGGGTGGGCTCACGCCTCACTGGCTCCTCGACACCACTAACAGCCGCCAATCAAACCTTCTCGCCATTTTCCATTTCCAGCTTCTCTTCAATGTTTAATTGTTTTTCTTTTTAGTTTCGACTGGCCAGCGGTTACAACACAATGCTCCACAAAAGAGAGAGAGAGATAAGAGAAGAGAGAGACAGAGCAAGAGAGAACCAACCAACCAATCAGCACACAGGAGCCAGAGACCTCCCCCAATCAGAGCTGTCTCGCACACAGAGAGAGAGACACACACACCCCCCAAAAGAGAAGCGAAAAGCTGGCGCTCGCTCGCAGGCGCGGGCACAGGCATGGACACAGGGGTGGGGGTGGGGGGAGGGTGGTCAGGGAGTGAGCCTGCCCCCAGGGCCCCTAGCCCAGGCCTGTTGCAGGGTGAAGAGGACAGAGAGAGAGGTCAGGGTCCAGGTCAGGACAGCCATGCACCGGAGGCCGGGCCCAGAGCTATAAAGGGATGGTTTTTTACGTGAGCTGTTCCTCTGGTAGGGCAAGTCTGGGTCTGGACGGGACAGCCACTGGATCAGGATGTTGCCATTCTTATTCAGGTCTGACGAGCCTCCTGGAGATGGAGCAAGGAGAGAAAAACATCAGAGAGGAAAATGACTATGAGTCAGGAGAGACTTCTACTGTCTATTCTACATGCCATTAATACACCAATCAGTAGTAATAATAAAGAATAATGGATTGGATTTATATAGGGCTTTTCTACTAACTAACCACACATCAGCTATCAGGTGGAGAGGTGAGGAGTGATATATGCCAATTAGGAATGAGGGGGATGATTAGGTGGCCCTGATGGAATGGGGCCAGATTTGGAATTTAGCCATGCCACCGGGGTTAACACCCCTACTCTTATGATAAGTGCCATGGGATTTTTAATGACGACAGAGAGTTAAGACACCTGCTTAACGTCCCATCCGAAAGATGGCACCCTGTGCAGGGCAGTGCCTCCTCCTTGTCCCTGGGGCATTGGGATCTCCTTACACCAGAGAAAAGAGGGCCCCCTAGTGGCCCTCCAACAGCACTTCCAGCAGCATCTGGTCTCCCATCCAGGGACCAACCAGTACCAACCCTGCTTAGCTTCAGAAGCAAGCCAGCAGTGGGATGCAGGGTGGTATGCTGCTGGCAAGTAGTGGCACAAGGGAACTAAATAAGATGAGTTAAATATTGTGTATAGGATAATGGGACCTGGCCATAATACTCACTGGGACAGGGCGCCAGGCTACAGATGCGTATGGTGTCTGGCTTGCTGTCTAGACACAGACCGATGGTGTTGTCACGCGTGTGACACAACGCCTGCCTCTGCTGTGTCCCATTTGCACACGTCACGGAGCACTGTGGTCACACAATACAGGAACAAGTGTGGGAATAGGCTATACACAACAACGCACACCTACACACCTACTCCCACCCTCACACATTCCCCTATTCACCTGGTCCTACCCTCACAGACACCCCTACACACCTGGTCCCAACCTCACACACACCCCTACACACCTGGTCCCACCCTCACAGACACACCTATACACCTGGTCACAACCTCACAGACACCCCTATTCACCTGGTCCACCCCCACAGACACCCCTACTCACCTGGTCCCGCCCTCACAGACACCCCTACACACCTGGTCCACCCTCACAAACACACCTACACACCTGGTCCCACCTTCACAGACAGCCCTACACACCTGGTCTCACCCTCACAGACACACCTACAAACTAAATAATAGCCTCATATATCCCCCCAGCCCCCCCAGCACCCCCAGTACCCAGCACCCCCAGCCCCCCCGGCTCCCCCCAGCTCCCCCCAGCTCCCCAGTACCCAGCACCCCCAGCCCCCCCAGCTCCCCCAGCCCCCCCAGCCCCCCCCCCCCCAGCACTCCCACCCCCCCAGCACTCCCAGCTCCCCCAGCTCCCCCAGCCCCCCCCCCCCCCCCCCCCCCAGCACTCCCAACCCCCCCAGCACTCCCAACCCCCCCAGCTCCCCCAGCCCCCCCCCCCATCCATCCCTACCTGTGACCAGGACCCTACTCTCCACTGTGCGGGGCAGAGCTCTCTGTTGCAGGGTCTGCGTGCCTCAGGCCGGTCGTTGTTGCAGTACTTGCTGTGGATGGAGCGCTTGTTGCCGTTGTCTAAGGACTGGACACAGTGAACAGACCTCATCTGGTACCCTGTTTTACCACATGTCTTACTGCACGGCTCCCACGGACCATCCTCCCAGCTAGACAGACAGAGAACAGAGAGAGTTAGCGGGAGGTACAAAAAAAGACATACCTCTTAGACCTGGTACCTCTTTAACCTCTTTGGTGTTGACAGGTTCACGGTGTAGAGAACAAGGAGTGAAATGGTACGGGGCCATCCTCTATCTAAACATAAATCTAAACCACACATCCATACGTACATGGGCTGGGAGCACTCCTTCTGGTTGCAGTCTCTGCTGATGGCGCGAGGCTTCTTGATGTTCTCACAGTAGCGCCGGTGGACCATCTTACTGTCTGCTCTCCTTCTACAGCCGTACCGGGTATACTGCTTACCTTTTCAGGCAGGACAAACACAAACATCTGTTAGACAAATAGGTCCTCATCCAAAACTCCTATCATGTTCCCCAGTGTCTTCCTGTGCTAGCGGTGTAACAGTAAAATACCTCCCCCACAGGGCTTGGAGCAATAGGACCATTTCTTCAGGGCCCACTCATAAAAGGAGGTGTCATCCAGCAGCATGTTGTTCTCTATAGCAGACAGAAGGTCCATATGAATGATGTACTTATAGGACAGGGTCACCTTGGCATCTCCATGGGACTGCACCTGGACACAGGGAAACAACAGTATGCTTTACATTTGTAGGTGTTAGTTAGTGTGTGTGTGTTTGTGTGTGTGTCTGTTTCTCTGTGTGTGTACCATGATTAGGACCCCGTGTCTGAGCGGTCCATTGGTCTGTAATGTCTCCTTGTCGTGGTCATTATTCACATACTCCCACTCCACGCCCTTTTCTATGACCGCACGGGATTCTGGGAGGTCTCCCTCAGCGTTCAGGAAAAACTGTCCTGAAGCCTGGTTCTTCACCGCTGGGGAGGGAGGTGGAGTTATAGACTGGAATACATACGCACGCACGCACGCAAGCACACACACACACACACACACACACACACACACACACACACACACACACACACACACACACACACACACGCGCATACACACACGCGCACACACGCACGCGTGCGCACGCACACACACACACACACACACACACACACACACACCATACCTAAAATGTGAGCGGTTGGCTTAATCTCCTGGATCAGTAGGTGTCTAGCCCCTCGAGGGATTTCAAGTACTTTGAGGAAACCTGAAAGGAAAACACACACATTTCCATAAGGTCCAGACACCCACAGATGTCTTTTCAACTTGGTCAGGATACATTTTCACTAAACGTTATTGTTCATCTGAGGAACACAGGGTTCATGTCTCGAGTTTTTACTTGCTTCAAATAAGACTTTAACTGCGCTGCTTTGCCAGCCAGGGTCAACAACAGTCAAGTCCAGGAAATTATTATTTCAGCTGGATGATATTAATTTAATATGGCATAGCGTTTGGACATGACTCTGGCCAGCTCATTGACTCTCTGTGACCAGTAGAGGGGGATCTTTAGTTAGATATCCAGTGGATCATCATCATCATCATCATCATCGGAGGACCCAGGCCAGGAAAACAACCTCATCTATCTCACTTCCTGATCTGTTTTCTCATGTTCCAGGGTCTGACAACTCAGCTACACATTACCTCATTGGTCTCTGTCTGCCAGTGTGGTGGTGATGGTGTGCATGTGTGTGTGTGTGTGTGTGTGTCTGTGTGTACCTTGTTTCTTGGCACTGCGTGTGAAGTTGCCCTTGATTATCTTGCAGCTGGAGTTGTCTCCTCCACAGACACCACACTTATCCTCCTGTTGGGAGGACCCTACCACGCTGTCACAGCCCACTTTCTGCAACACACACACACACACACACACACACACACACACATGCATACAGACACACACACACACACACACACACACACACACACACACACACACACACACACACACACACACACACACACACACACACACACACACACACAAACACACACCTAGAGTTAATATGGACACACACACACACTTCACAAAGTTATGAACACTGACACCTGACACAGTCACACACACATCATTTGGGTTGCAAAATGGACTAGCATTGTGTAACCCTAAATATCATTAAAAGAAACCCACATACACACGGACTGACCTCACAGTCCCCGCGCACACACACGCTGTAGGAGTCTTTATATGAGCAGAGCGTGCCGTCTTGGACCAGCCTCTGCATGTTGATCTTGTCTCTGGTCTCCTTGGACTGGCAATGGAGCTGGCAGCGCTGCTTAGCTGCACAACACACGCAAACACACACACACACGTTACAATACTTTATTTACATACAGTTAGCAACAGACCCATATACAGAACCATGACAACATACTGTGACTATATCAGACAATATTACAGGTTGTAAAGAGATCTGGATTTATACTAAACAGGTTGTAAAGAGATCTGGATTTATACTAAACAGGTTGTGAAAAGATCTGGATTTATACTAAACAGGTTGTAAAGAGATCTGGATGTATACTAAACACGGTTGTACAAGAGATCTGGATTTATACTAAACAGGTTGTAAAGAGATCTGGATTTATACTAAACAGGTTGTAAAGAGATCTGGATTTATACTAAACAGGTTGTAAAGAGATCTGGATGTATACTAAACAGGTTGTAAAGAGATCTGGATTTATACTAAACAGGTTGTAAAGAGATCTGGATTTATTCTAAACAGCTTGTAAAGAGATCTGGATTTATTCTAAACAGGTTGTAAAGAGATCTGGATGTATACTAAACAGGTTGTAAAGAGATCTGGATTTATTCTAAACAGCTTGTAAAGAGATCTGGATTTATTCTAAACAGCTTGTAAAGAGATCTGGATTTATACTAAACAGGTAAATCACTTAGTAGTACAAGGCAGACCCAGCATATATCCTCTACAATAAGGACACAGGTCAGAGTAGGCCGTGGAGTATCTCTGTCTAGCCTGTATATGTTTACGTAATCTCCCAGACGTGTGTCTACCCCGACTATGCCATGGCTATAATGTCTGGCATGCGAGATTAGCATTAAGGTGGATTTGCCTGTTCAATGTGTATGTCTACTTGCTGCAACACAAATTGCCCCAAATTTGACTCTACACTACTGAGTCGGACTAGATTTAGCTAGCCACAGAATCACTGTGTGATCTGAGATGACTATGTCTTCGGTACGCTATGTTCAGAGTGCACTGTGATTGATTACCTTACGGATATGAAAAAGTATTAGAAACGCTCTGAGTCCACTCATGGTGATGCTATGCCATTACACAGTCCCTCACTCCCTCAATCTTCCAGCCAGAGTCCCCAGTGAGGGGGCCGACGCCACAGATCATCCCAGAGAGAGAGAGAGTTCTCTGGGTGAGAAGGGCTGACTGATCCCCCTGACCAGCTGGACCCTGGCAGCTGGAACAATCAGCGCCTGTAAAAAGTGTTTTTTTGAACTCCAGAGTATTGCTAGGAGGATGGTGACGGCTAAAAACATCGACAGTATTTCACAACAGGCATAATTAATTATTAGATCTGGAGCAACGTCTGGATTTGAACACAGACTCACTCCTGTTCTCACATCTCTAAACCCTGGAGATGACAACACACTAATGGAATTCATTGTAACCTCTCTCCTTACCTTCCCCCCTTCTCTTTCCTTCCTTTTCTCTCCTCCACATACTTGAGTAATTTTAGCTCAAAGGATGGCATTTAGAAATGACAATGTGGAGAAAAACAATTTAGCGTGGGGACTGTTCTCCTCGGCGCAGCGCTGTGCATAGCCTACTGTGAACCTGGATTAGACTGAGAGACGTGTCAGCGTTTTCCCTCCAGCTCTGCCCTTCACTGGGACCATCAGTTAATACACAGCGAGGAGGCACTGACACCTCCACTTAGAAGGAGTGGATCCGCAAGCTTCACACACTCTGCAAACACACACACACTTCTAGATGATGTCATGGTGTTTTTGAAGACATGGAGAGAAAGAAGGCATGGGAATCCTATTTCTGGGTTCTGATGGATTAAACATATGCTCTGTGATTCACAACAGCTGTCTGGCTGGCGAGGGAGGGAGGGACGGAGAGAGAGAGAGAGAGAGAGAGAGAGAGAGAGAGAGAGAAGAGAGAGGAGAGAGAGAGAGAGAGAGAGAGAGGAGAGAGAGAGAGAGAGAGCAGGAGCGCCGACGGGAGAGCTCCGCGCTCTCTCTCTAGAGCTCCGAGGATCTCTCTCTCTCTCCGAGCCTCGTCTCGAGAGCACTCGAGCGAGAGGCTAGAGAGAGAGAGAGAGAGGCTGGAAAAGAGCTCAGATGATGTCAGTGTGATTAGGTGGAGTGAGAGAGTTCAAAGAGAGTGTTTTTTAAGAGGGGTTCAGGAAAGGAGTTGTTGTTTTAGAAAGGTTGATAGACAAGGGTTTTGTTTTTGAAGATGGGTGTTTTCACAGTGATCAGCAGAAAAACAGCTGTCGGTGACCATAACATCCCCCTCACCAATCCCCCTACAACACACACACACACACACACAGCTTGTTATTCTGCTTCCACACACTCTCTACATCAGATACAACAGACTTTGGCCACAAAGCAAGAGGAGCCGACTTAAGGCCCACAAGTGTCTCCGTTCCAACCCACCATTTGGAGAAGTCTGTCTGTTTGTAGGCTACTTACGTTCACTGTGTTCATAAGGCAGCCAGTGGTGCTTGTTGTTGTGGAACTCGTACTCGGGGTCCAAGCTACGGCACTGCTCCTCCCTGAAGTCACTGTATAGCTCCTCACACTCCTGGCTGTTACATAGCTGAAATTGGTAGTTAGCACCCAGACAGGTACGACCTCCATTAGCAGGCCTAGGGAGGACAGGGGGAGAGGGTAGAGAGAGAGAGAGAGACAGAGAGAGACAGAGAGAGACAGAGGGATATAAATGTTACACTAGATCAATATGAACAGTGATGACGCGCATCTTTTTGCAAAAGCATCATAATGTGATGGATAGCAATGATACCATGCTGGTTATGTTCTGTTAGGACAAGCTCTAACATTTTTTCACCATGATACCATGGAAATGTTGCTAGGTAGATTTCTCAACAGTTGTTTGATATTTATGTACCTGGGGTTGTCACATTCGCGGGTTCTGAACTGCACCCCTCCTCCACAGGTACGAGTGCAGGACCCAAACTGGCTCCACATGCCCCACCCACCATCCTGCTTTATCATGTCATTGGTCAGCCAGATACAGTGACCTTTGAAGCAGTGCTGTGATAGGACGAGAGAGGGCAGAGACTGTCAGATGGCATAATTTTTTTACCATTACTGTGGTGTGTGTGTGTGTGTGAGAGTATGTATAATAATAATAATAATAATAATAATAATAATAATTGTATTATGTATGTATGTAGGTGTGTGTGTTTATGTGTGTGTGTTTATGTGTGTGTGTATTTATGTGTGTGTGTGTTTTCATGCGTTAGTGTACCTTCCCGTCCCCACACATGGTTCCGTCGATGGGCGGTCCTTTCTTGGTCTTGCAGAAAAAGGGGTTGTCAGGGTGGCTGCACCACAGCTGTTTGCAGGGGTCAAACGTCCGGTACTGCAATGGACAGAGAGAGAGACATCCTCACACACACACCCTCTCACATTATACACACACAGCCTGTACCTTAACATATCACCAGCGTAGGCAGGTGACCTGCAACAGTCACAAGAAAGGGTAGATCTTTCTCACATACACACCAGTCACTGGGAGTAGCTAGCATCACAGAACATTCCAGAAATCACCTCAGACCTACTACACCAGGGATAACAAATCAACTGGACCAGTGACTGTACTGAACATGTACAAGAAAATATACAAAATAATAACATCCACAGGAGTCCAGACGGTAGTGTACTGTAGTAGTCCATCACTGGTTCACTGTTACAACAACACGGCTGTACAGGAAGCCAGAGAGCATGCCGACACAACCAAAGAGGATGAGGAGAGAGAGACTCTGACTGAGACACCCTGCAGCTCTGTGGGGTCAGAGAGGAGGTCAGAAGGTGAATATAAAAAGGTCAACATGACCGATCTTTGGTTCAGAGAAGAATAAAGTTGTCCTTAGTCAGTTTTTCATTCCATGCCCCTAATGGTTCAGGTAAGGATGCTGGGGAGAGTAAACTGATCTTAGATCTGTGACAAACTCTCTTCTCTCTCACCTGTTTCCCTCCGCTCCCCCCTCTGTCCCCCTTTCCACAATAACAGAGCCGAGACAGACTCCCTAACCAGAATGACCTAAGGTGACCCCTCCAGTTGAGGTTACAGCAGGGTCAAAAGTCAGCCTGATGGTTGGTTGGCACTGATGACATCAGCTTGGTAGGCTGGCACGCGACACTGCAGGATCCTAAACCTGAATATAGAAAAGCAGCTTTCGCTCCAGACCTTTCTTTCTGTCTGGAAACTTCTCTCTCTCTCTTTCTTTCTACCCTTTTTCTACCTATTTTCTACATGCCAATATGTCTTTCTGAATGGCCAAATAGTTACACAGATATTTACAGTAAACGGATTCATGCGTGTGTCAGGGTTGAGCTCATTTGCTATGGTTGACTTTGTCTGGCTATGGGATCCAGGAAAGCTGTTCGGGACAAATCCAGCATTTTACTTATTCTCTTTGGTACTAAATGGGAACCAGAAACAGAGAGTATGTTTAGAATCCTGCAGTACACATGCCAGGCACAATAATGTGACGATGGGCAAAAAAAAAAAGGAAAAAAAAGAGTAACGTTGCAACGACGACGACAATACTGATATCAATCAAAAGATAAAGAAAAAAGCTCTGGGGGGGGGGGGGATAACCTTACCTGTGTTCCAGCCTGGCCCACCTTTTGCAGCTAAAGAATGGTTTGACAACAGAATACAGGGTAATCTAGCAACGTGTGCAAAGCAAAGAGTAGGTCAGCTCAACTCTCAATCAGAACAACTCTTGAACAGTCTGTCTAAAAAGATAAGCTCTTCAGTCAGTGTCAAGGAAAATACTTCTTCAAGTGGGGACTTATGTCGGTAGGGACTTAATTCAGTGAGGAGTGAGGACTTATTCTATTCAGGCGTGGATGTAACCATAGTCATCCTACTGCATCAGTGGGGACTGAAGTGTGAAGTGGTGCTGAAGTAATTGGCTTTTCAACTAATGACAAATTGTACAACTTTGGGAGACGTTAGGACCGTTAGGTGGCAATAGATACTTCTCCTAGTACATATATATATTAGTATTAATATATAGTTAGTAGATGTGTTAGTATACCACCTGTTCCTTTGGGGAGTTCTTACCGCGGTACACATCATGTAGCCCACGCCGAAGTCGAAGCGACACTGTTCGTTCATGGAGTAGTGCAGACCAGGAAGTCTGGGCAGGGACGGCCAGTTATGTTCGTAGGGGTCGTCACGGAGACAGTCGTAGGATCTGGGGAAGGAGTCAAAAGAGATGTGAGCTAACAGTGTTTTCATTTTCATTTCAGGTTTCATTTACAGTGAATAATGGAGAGTGCTAGAGTTTTAATATATTTTTGATTTTATTGTTTTGAACAATCGTTGCAGCAAAATTTCAGTTCAGGAACCCTCCTCAGGCTGCATGAGTTTTCATATTGGAGAACCGTATGCTGAACACTGCCAGACCTAGTAGAGTGGAGTTCCTATAGTTTCTTTGATGTCTGGAGTCATTCAGTTCTAGTGAAAAGGAATGTAAACAAGTTGTTTGGATTGTAATGTGTGTAAGCATGTGTGTGTGTATACAGTGTGTGTATATAGTGTGTGTGTACAGTAGATGTGTGTGTATACAGTGTGTGTGTGTGTACAGTAGGTGTGTGTGTTTATACAGTGTGTGTGTTAGACTCACTGTAGGTATCGTCCTAGCTCCTGCTGGCTACAGCGGGACCAGTGGAAGCGGTGGAAGGCAGCTTGCACCAACGGGGCCATGATGCTCCCCATGTGCACCTCGTCTCCACAGCGATTCCCCTGGCCGTCGTGTTCCATACCCAGCCTGAAGGAGGGGGAGGGGGGAGGGGGGAGGGGAGGGACAGGCGTATGGGTCTACTTCAATGTGTCATGGTGAATATAATGTTTTTTTAACCGTTTTTTACAATCACTTTGGCACTAATTTCAGAACCTTGACGTAATTTTTCAAAACTCTAGACACAAAACTCACAACCAATGATCAAAATGCACATTTTTCAAAACTCTAACACTTTTTTCAATTGCTTGGATACAATACACATAAAACTAAGATCATTTGTTCATTTAACAAAAGTCACCTGTTCAATATGACACAACTTAACATCAAAGTACTAATATTTCAAAAGGCAATTCACACATTACATTTCAGATGAGTGTCTATTCATTTCATTACAATTATCCAACTATCAATTGATACAACTGCTTAAAATGATAAGTAACTGTTGCATTGCTCTTAATGCATAGTTGTATGGAAACAGACAAACAATATTCCATGTTTAGATCATGTAAGTTTCAAAGTAACGAGATTCATTGTCACCAATTAGCGTGGAGCATGAACCAATAAGACTACATTATCTATGGATGTAATATTTCATCATCATTCTTTATCAGACACCGTTTCTATGGTCCCCTTGTAACCTTCCTTGATGAGCTCGATCAGGCCTGTAGAGCTGGTGACGTGACCTATGTCATTGTGTGGGATAATGTCAGGTTCCACCAAGCTCATATGGTGCAAGCATGGTTTCAGGCCCATGCACAATTTACCACCCTGTATTTACCCCCATACTCTCCTTTCCTTAACCCGATTGAGGAATTTTTCTCCACATGGAGATGGAAGGTTTATGATAGTCGCCCTCATGAACAAGTCACTCTTCTCCAGGCCATGGATGACGCATGCAATGACATCACGGCAGACCAGTGTCAGGCCTGGATTCGCCATGGCCAAAGGTTTTTTCCAAGATGTTTGGCTAATGAAAACATCCATTGTGATGTAGATGAGAACCTGTGGCCAAAACCACAAGACAGAGTTGATGAAAATGTACAAGTACAGTAATCACTCCTATGTTTAGCTTTTTACAGTACAAGCAAGCAAGTTGAGGAACACTGCATTTGATGTTTTACAGTACTGTATTGTTTTTCATCAATATATTTCAGATTTTGTTCAATGATTCCACTGTGTCTGTAGTATTCTCTCTACTACTGTAGTACTTTTACAGGGATGTATTTACATGTAGTACCATAATGAAATATGTATCACCTGTTTTGTACTACAATATTTAATGATCGTACGAACAATGACACAGTGAAACTATCGGTGGCTTGTGTGTGGGTGATCTAAATTAACGTTTCACTGGTATTTCACAATAAATTTGTTTTTTGAACCAATGATTGTGCAAGTGCAAGATTTCTTTAAAGATATGAATGCACAATGCAATGTTTTGAACATTGGACAGCCTGTGTTACAAGTGATGACCGTTTTGAGTTTTGTGTCTAGAGTTTTGAAAAATTACGTCAAGGTTCTGAAATTAGTGCCAAAGTTATTGTAAAAAACGGTATTGTGTGTAGCCCTAAGTCGATACAGTGTGTGTGTGAGTTTGTGTGTTTGAGTGTGTGTGAGTGTGTGTGTTTAAGTGTGTGCGTGTATGTGTGTGTGTGAGTGAGTGTGTGTTTGAGTGTGAGTGTGTGTGTGTGTGAGTGTGTGTGTGTGTGGTGTGTTTGAATGTGTGTGTTTGAGTGTGTGTGTTTGAGAATGTGTGTTTGAGTGTGTGTGTTTGAGTATGAGTGTGTGTGTGTGTGTGAGTGTGTGTGTTTGAGTGTGTGTGTGTTTGAGTGTGAGTGTGTGAGTGTGTGTGTTTGAGTGTGTGTGTGTGTTTGAGTGTAAGTGTGTGTGTTAGTGTGTGTGTTTGAGTGTGTATGTTTGTGTGTGTGTGTTTGAGTGTGTGTGTACTCACACATGTCCCGTCTCATGTGCTACCACAAAGGCAGAAGAGAAGCCATCCTCATGGTTCAGAGTACAGCTCCTCACTGGGTGACACATCCCTGTTACTGGAGCATAACCTGAAGGAAGGAGACAGGAGGGAGAGAGCAGTGAGACGGAGGGAGGGAGAGAGGGAGGAAGAGAGGAGGGAGAGGAAGTGAGGGAGGGAGGGAGAGGCAGGGAGGGAGAGAGAGGGAGAGAGAGGAGGGAGGAAGTTGTAATAGAGAGAGAGAAGGGTGGAGTCAGGGATCGGTAGGAAGAAAGGGAGCAAGAAACAGGAACACCAAACAGGAACCTCTCAGTAGCTAGAGCTTTGTGACCTGACTGTGTCTCTTATTCGGCTCTCTCCGAGGATGACCTGTCGCTGTCTCTCAGTTATCTGTTCTCTCTAGTGGCTAGCAGGTCTGTGTTTGCAGTCTCTCTGTGTTCTCACTAGCAGGTCTGTGTTTGCAGTCTCTCTGTGTTCTCACTAGCAGGTCTGTGGCTGCAGTCTCTCTGTGTTCTCACTAGCAGGTCTGTGGCTGTAGTCTCTCTGTTCTCACTAGCAGGTCTGTGGCTGTAGTCTGTCTGTGTTCTCACTAGCAGGTCTGTGGCTGTAGACGCTCTGTGTTCTCACTAGCAGGTCTGTGGCTGTAGTCTCTGTGTTCTGTTCTCACTAGCAGGTCTGTGGCTGTAGTCTGTCTGTGTTCTCACTAGCAGGTCTGTGGCTGTAGTCTCTCTGTGTTCTCACTAGCATGTCTGTGGCTGTAGTCTGTCGGTGTGCTCACTAGCAGGTCTGTGGCTGTAGTCTCTCTCTGTTCTGTTCTCACTAGCAGGTCTGTGGCTGTAGTCTCTCTGTGTTCTGTTCTCACTAGCAGGTCTGTGGCTGTAGTCTCTCTGTGTTCTCACTAGCAGGTCTGTGGCTGTAGTCTCTCTGTGTTCTGTTCTCATTAGCAGGTCTGTGGCTTTGTATTGTCTCTCTAAATGTCATTGACTAG